GAGATGAGCTTTGGTTAGGCCACCTTTTCTAGGCCCCTCTCCATGTGGAGCAAGCAGTGCTCTCCTTGAAAAAGGCTGCTTGCCGTCTGAGCATGGCGCGGCCTGGCCTCCATCCGAGCACCAAAGCCCCATGTAGTTATGTCTTATATAGACTTAATGTATTTTGTAACATTCTTGTTTCCATTATGAAATCAGAGTTGAACTTCCTATTTTTTTTAGGCTTTTACAGTGAATTGCTTGCATTCTTTGCCAAATCTGTTTTAGGCATCTCATTTGAATACTTTGCTACTTTGAGTGGTATCTTAGTACAAATGCAAATAGGTTTTTCAAAATGATTCCCATCTTATTCAGTAAGTGCTGAATCCTATAAAAAAAGAAACTTGGTGGGCTGGAGTTAAGGTTGTTTGGGTGACTTTTTTCCTTTGCGATTTCTTGATTTCAGAGCTTCATAGCAAAGACAGATATTTCTTTTGTGTATGTATGTATATAGATATAATATATATAAATAAAAAATTTCCTGCTCAATGGTGGATAGATGCTTACTTTTCTTACTTGCATAATTCCAACTTTTTGTCTATTTTAGGTTTGTATGTTAGAAATATAAACTTTCAGTGAATTTGTCTATAATGTGAAATTTGTAAATCACTGCTTTTTAATGAACTGCTTTCTTTCAAGTTCTTGGGTAAGATTTGTGGTGTAGTAGTGCATAAGCATATTTACATAATGAATTACTGTTATGATTTAAAGCCTTTAATTGTTTCGCTCTCCAGTGAATAGTCTGCAATTTTAATTTAATAATGTACTAATAACTGATATTTGATAATATATTAATCACTGGAAAGTAGTAAAATTGGAGTGCTTTGGTAGCTTTAGTGAAAAAATGTAACTGACTTCTTATATTATTCTGGTTTTTTTGACAAAACTTTTGTCTTCTGCAGCAGCAGCATTTTATACGACATATAAATGTACAGTGGCATGTGGTTATCCAACTGTAAAGTGTGAAGTCAGAAAGGTCCTAGTCAGTGGTGGTACTTCATTGTAGTGGACATACTCAGAGCTACAGGAATGGAAAGATTTCCCCAAGGATGGTGGCCAGTTATTACTGGTGTGATGGCAGCGTGGTCTCTGGCTGTGGGGTGTACCAGTCACCAAAATTTGGCTTGGAGTTTTCTGTTAAATGCTTATTTACCAGTCTGAACTTTTTACTTTTTATTGTTCACTCCCAGATGAGGAAGTGCTTATTTTGTGTAGTTCCTGTCTTCCTTCCAACATAGTAACATTTCTCATACAAAAGCCATGTCACTGTGCCAGAATTCTGCCGACTCTTTTAAAGATCAAGATTCCATCTAATATTTTTTCTAAACTGGCTTGCCTATTTTTTTGTGTTGTGGTACTTTATTTTTGAGTTTTAACAAACTTGTTCTTGTCAGGGAAAGATGAAGTAAAGCAGATGTAGTTTGAAAATGTCTTTGTGTTACAAATAATGAATGAATAGTGTATTTCATTTAAAGCAGAAAGCTTATTCCAGTCCCTGGCCTCCACTGCCCTGTTGTTTGATGTTTGTGTCACCTATTTTGTAATGGAAGTTACAGGAAATAGTCACCTCAGGTGAAACCTACCTGTACTGTCTTGACCACCATGAAATGTCCTTTAACTATCCTAGACTCATTAATTTGTTAGATCTCCTTTGTGTTAGATAGCATAAGCAAATTATTCAAAATTCCTTTAAACAAAAACTAGTAACTTCATTATTATTAATTACCATTAAGTGTTATTCATCAAATTAATGAAGTAAGGGGGATGTGCAGCTTAGCATTTTGGAAAGTGTAGAGTTAAAAATTTACAGGAAGAAAGTAAAAGTTTGCCAACTAGTTGTTTCTGTATTTTAAAAATATTTTTAGAACTTGTTTAAAAGTTTAGTTTATACATTCTTCCTTTTCCCTAAATAACCCAAGAATGACTTTGCAAAATATTTTTTAGCAAGTTTATGAATGGTGACAAAATCAAGATACGTGCACACTGTTTTTCTCAGTATGTTCAAAAGTTTCTGCAGTTTCCTTAAGGCTTAACCCATGTGTTTTATTTTAGAACTTTTATTTCAGGTTAAGTCCAGTTTTTATACAGACTGATTATAAGATAGAGGAATTTGAGGCAAAAGTACCTTTGTATCAAGTAGTATCAAAGTAATTATGTAAACTTCAAAGGTGTCTGTACCTGTTTATGTATGCTTTTAAGGTATGGTATAAAATTGTTATGCAGGCTATTTTCCTTTTTATTTCTGAAGACATATGCTTTCCTATATGGAATTTTCAGAAAGCTGCTAGGCTTTCTTCACAGCTGCATCATGTTCAGAGGCTCACATTCATTCTAGGATTGACTAAAAGCAACTTATTTTCTCTTTTTCTTCCATATGATCAAGGAAGTCTGTTTTTTGGCAAAAATTTTACCACTAGTTAAAAATGTGATGGGCATTCTGTATGTCTGATTCCATTTCTGTACTGTGTTTCACAAAGACATTCAGATTTGGTGTTAATGATACCTTTTATCATTAAATTATAGTAGCAAACTTTGCTTTTCAATGAAGTTATATTACAATAGTGTTAAATAAATTGTGTAGTTTTTATTCCTCTGCCTTACAGTGTGAATAGATTACATTTTTAAAGTTATTATCATCATCATTTTTAGGAAGCAACAGCAGATACAAGTGTTGAAATTATCTTAGACTGTGATAACTAGACAGTAACAAATAATACACTTCCTTTGTTGTGTATGCAGTGTGTCCTATAACCCATGGGCCTGAGGATGACAGGACGGAATTTTTCTGTAATCATCTGCATATTTTTTATTTGTCTTTCTTCAGTTGAAGAAGTAATGTTTTTGTGTTCACAGATTTTGATCTGTGTATCACTGAAGGAGGATCAGCTGAAGGATAGGCTGTCATTGTCCATCTACCATCCAATGCCATGCAGGTTGTCTTCAGCCTAGACCTGAAATTCAGTTCACTATTCTGGAATTTGCTGCTCCTTCTCCTTTAAAGGAGGAAGGAAATGAGCAGTATGTTCATGGCAATGCCTCTGCAGAAAAGTGTGGTTTAAAAAAAAGGAAGGTTTTCTTTGCAACTGAATTGTAAAATACAAAGGGCCCCTGAATGATTCAAAAAGTTATAGCATGGCAGTCTTCTGTTAATATCTGATAATAAACATAGCTAGAAAGGCAGCAGGAGAGGGAACCAGTGGTGATTTTATTGGAATGCCATGCTGGTAAACAAACTCTCTCAGGATAAATAGAAACAGTAGAGGATTAAAGCACTAAAACAGAGGAACATTGAAGAACTTTCTCCTGCTTGGAAACAGTAATAACATTCAGCCAAATAGGAAATGCTTTAGTTTGATGACAGAAATGAAGGGAAGGAGAAGCTGAGGTAGTGCTGCATCTAACTGCCTGATAAGAGGAAGCAGAACAATTCAAGTGTTGCTGTTGTATAGTAGCTTAGAAGTGAATAATTTTGGTTGAGATGCTCAATTCAGTCGTGTTCCTGTTTGGGTCAGCAGGGCTACTCTCAGTTACTGCACTTGTAGGCCATGGCTGTTGTCTTGGTAGAGGATGGAATAATGAAACCAACTTCTTGCTGGAAGCAATGAGGTGAAGCAGAGTGAAGCTGGCAAGAATAGAGTGTGCTGAATTTCAGCTCACATTACAGGAGACAAGAACAAAACCAATAAATCCTTCCTACTGGTGGTAGTTTTGAATTCAAGCCATGCTTCTGCACAGCAAACTGACAAGTCTGGAACCGCAAAAGAAGTTAAAAATTTCTTCAGACTTCTACCTGTTTGTTCCCCAAAAGAAAAGAATTGCTTTATGGCCCTAAAGCGAGAAGTCAGATCATCAGGGCTGTGAAAATATATCTGCTGTACTTTGGCTGCTTTTCCCTTTATTTAGTTTAAGTAAGTAAGCTTTGAAATAAGTATTGAAGGATCAGGAAGGAGGCTTAAAATAGCAGCAGTGAAGAAGTGAGAAGATCATTAAGTTCTATTTTTTCCTGCCAATCAGACGTTTCACTTTTTGCCTATGCACATTCCTTTCCTTCCATTTAAGGCAGATGACCTTTCTTCAGGTCAGATTATCTGTCTGATTACATGGGTAGATAGCATTTCTGTGGTTTCTGATGATGAGAGGTGTTTGTTCTGCAACACTATTTAAGCAATTATTTGAACCCAGTTGATTCAGTTGAATGCTGACATGCACTATTATTTTATGACTTGAGCTCACATCAGTATTATGATACTTCATCATACTGTGATAGGTAAGGAACAAACCTCAGTAACATTTCTTCCTACTGATTTTCCTTTGTGTCTGTGTGCTTAGAATGAGAAATAAAGAATGAACAACCGATCAAAAGTCAAAAGCTTTTGTTCTGTGGGTACAAGCACTCACATGGGGGATTGGACTCCACTGTTGTCTTGTCTGTACTTATATCAAATCCATTTCTGAAGACCTCCACTATTTCTATAGGTAACATTCATTTATAAATGGTTTAGACCTAGGAAATACAGGTCACTTTGAAGAGTTACCCAAAGAAAAACTTATTTATTTAAAGAAATTAAAGATGTAATCTTTGTTGTTTGTTTTCTTTCAATGCTATCATTATTTGCAGACATCTAACTGTGTATTGGCTAAATCTTTGGGTATATTATATGAGCTTTGGAATCTACACTTGGTTCTGTCTGCAAGTATTTCCTTAGCATATTGAGTACTGCAAATAATTACTTTTTATTAGACCAAATATATCATAATTGAATGTTTACTCTTTTATACACAGTCTCTTCCATTTCAAGATTGTAAATGTTCATGCTAGATTTATTTTGCATAATAAAAATTCCTGTTTAATTTGCCATCTCCCTGTAGATTACATTTATTCACTTATTTTAATAAAGTGTAGCTTTTCAAAGTACATCATTCTGATGGTTCAAAAAACATACCTTCTTTTTTTCTCTTTTCAGATTTATCCAAGAACAGATTAACTGAGGTTCCTATGGAGTTGTGTCATTTTGTGTCACTGGAAACACTAAATCTATACCACAATTGTATTAAAAATATACCAGATGCCATAGTAAACTTGCAAATGCTAACTTATTTAAATTTGAGGTAAGTTTAACTTTGCCACTTTTTTTTGTTTGTTTGCAAATGTGTAAAGATTTTATTGTCTACGCTTTATATATTTCTGGAACAACTGACTACCTTTTTCATTTTACTGGAGACAGTAATGCAAAAGCTCTTTGGCTGTAGATACAACTCTGTGTGAAGGCATTTTAAAGGCCAAAATGTAAAACTAATTATTAAGAGAAAGACCAAGAAATACTAATCCATGTCTTTCCGATATTCTTGTAACAAATTCAGGATGCTAATCACATCAGCACAGTTGGATTCTTACAATTCACTTCTCATGACAAATTTTGTAAAACTTGACATACATTTTGTACTTAAAAAGATGAAGAGATGGACACAGAAGGTTTATGTTTTTATCCATGGAAATAGAATGGAAAAGCACGATACTTTATCACTAAGATTTTGTCTTATGCAATAAGTATACTTACTACCTGTTTTAAGGAGGAAATGGCCAAGAATTAGACACCACTGTCTCTTTTCAATGAAAAGTCTGTGTGAATACTAACCAGTATAGAGAATTGCTGCTGGTTAAAGTGCAGGTGAACACATATGTGCTTTTAGTGGAGGGCACGTAAGCCCTTTTTCAACTGGAGCAAGATGTGGAGTTTTCTTTGCAATTACAAATGTAAAAACTGTAATAGTAAAATATAATAATCTGATCTTTGTGAGAATGAGGTTTGAGCGGATGGTGCAGTGGCTCTTGGTCCTTTAAATTCAAGGTATGAAGGTTTGATCGTCAGTTTTATCAACACTGAGGATCTTTCCTAAGCCTTCCTGTATTATTACTGTACTGCAATTTTGGCCACTGTGGAACACCGTTTTGGCTCTAAAAATTGAAATGTTATGGTGTGTTCTGAGTATCTGCACACGTACAGGGAATAGGACTTGAAATTTTGCATTAGTGTTTGTTAGATATACATAAAAAAATTAAGACTGGATTAAGTTGTTAAATTTACATAAAATATCGTGGTAAATTTAGGAATTAGATTTAACTCAGAACTCAATATCATGAACCAGTGACTCAGTGTACTGATGGAATTTGTGTGAATCATCACAAAACCATAATAGTTAGATTTTATATTACATCTGACAGTAAATTGGACAAAATAAAAGGAAGTTTTTCAAGTTCTTAAGGTCATTTCCCTCAGTTTAAAATCCCCTCTTCACTTGGATGTGCCCTTCCTCCTTGTTAGTTGTTCATAGTAAACAGGTTAAAGAAGGAAATATAGCCTTGACTTTCTAACTATGTTGCTTCTTGGCAAGAAATACATTAGAGATATAGAATGCATATTTTTCTGCCTGTCACCAGCAGAACCCATATGTTAAATAGCATTAGAAAGTGATGCCAAGAGATATACGGTGTCTTTGGGCCTTGGTGGATACTGTTCATGTTTTATTTAAAGAAATTCCTTTTAAACTAATGATGATTTCTTACTCACTTGCCCTGGTGATGTACTGTTCTTTATCTCTTAGTGGGTTGCTTCTGAGTTCTGTAGAGCTTAAAAATTGTTTTGACTTGCTTTTTGTGTGTCTAATCTGCTGATCTGTGGCATAGTGTAACTATTTTAGAGTCCAGATTTCCTCAGTTTGAGTTCTTTAGAACTTAAAAAAAAAAATTTCTACTTAATTTTTAGAAAAAGTTGTGTCTTGTGCATCTGTAAAGACACTAGAATTAAAAAACCTGGCTCCACAATAAGCACTGATTCTTTTTTCAGCTACTGCTGGTTAATAGTTGGATTTCTCATTTTTAATGTCTTTGGGTTTGTTATTTGATATCTGTCTGTTTCCTGGCTTGTGCAACAGAGATACGATGATAGTTTCCTTTGTAAAACGTTTTGAGACTGTTGGTGTGGAGCATGAATATAAATCTTTATATGCAGCTTTGTAGTATACTGCTGGATTGGCAGTTGAAGAAATGCTGTGAAACTTGTGGAATTTTGATCTTTCTTTGTTTTTGTTTCACTTCAAGGTTTCTTACTGAAATTACACATGGCAATTTGTGCCGTGTGTTTTCAGAGTTCAGGCACACCTTTGCTCTCTGAAGCCTTAACAGTCAAGCAGAAGCTAATTAAAATGGTTTATACTGGGGTGCCACTTTTAAGTTACTGTTTGTTGTTTTACTACAGGTTAATACTCATAAGAAAGAACAAGTATTTTAAAAACCTTTAAATATTCTACGACACAGTAGTTAATATGTTATTCTGATAAGCATGAAGTTTCTTCTGGAAATTGAGCCACAACTCACTATTTTTAATGATGTGGTGATCACAAAGTGTCATGACATTTGCCATCTTTTACATTTGTCATGTTTTAGCTTATGAATCTTGGAAAGAAATGAACCATTGATAGTCCCAGGATTTTTTGGCTCTATTTAACTGGGTTAATATCCTAGAACCATAGAACAAGAAGTATCAAGTAATCTTCAGCTATAAATGTTCTTAAAAGGAATTGAGAAAATAACCATTTTGTCTGTAATTTATATATTTGTCTTTTAGTTGGAACAGAAGGCATCCATTTTAGTGGCACATAAAACCACAGGAATGTTTAAATACTTGCAAAATACTGTCTCAGTTGACTTTCCGGTATTCATTAGGAAGGGAAACAGCTGTTCTTGGTGAAAAACAGATTTGTTACAACATTGTTAAACTGATATAGTGCATTTTTTCCAGAGTGATAAAGTTCACAATGTTGTTTAGTCAATAATGCAGGCATTTCTGATGTACAAGTGTTTTCTTAATGATTGGCATTTGAAAATTTAAATTTTATCTTCATAAAATCTGACCCATGAAAATGAAGAAATTTTGCAACTCTCAGACTTTATGTGAGTGTACAGTAGAACATCACTGATGGTTTTAATGTTTTGTTTTGTTTTGTTGCAGTCGAAATCAGCTTTCTTCTTTGCCAGCTTGCCTGTGTGGTCTTCCTCTAAAAGTCTTAATTGCAAGTAACAATAAGCTAGGTTCTCTTCCAGAAGAGATAGGTCAGCTAAAACAGTTAATGGAATTGGTATGTTACTGATCTTTTTTTTTACTTTTTATTTTGACTTCTTTTGTATTTAAATAGAAACAAAAAAAATCACTTTGCACATATATTTGAACAAGTGTTTAATACTATAATGCAAGTTGAAAGACAAAGTTTTTTTTCAGCTGTTGGGTAGTGACACAATAATAGTTTCCTTTATATTCTTTTGAACTCTTTTAAACAACATCAATGCCCTTGGTTCATTCAATACTCAGTGTCAGAGTTCATGGTCTTTATGAGTTTTACTCATCCCTGCACTGACTCCCCATTTCACTGTATCAAGTTCAAAAGTTCTGGCATCAGGCTCTGCAAGGCTGTACCCCTTCCTTAGCACCCTCCCCTCCTGCTTCATTTTTGTCTGTTATTACTCTCTGCTTACCACATTGCATTCCACTCCTGATACTGGTCTTATCAGTCTATTTTCATTTTATTTCACTATGTTTGTCACGCAGCCTTTCTTTCCTGGAACACCTATCTAAACAGATATCCAATCCAAAGTTATATTCCTCTTGTTTTCAAAACTGTCCACATGACTACTGTTTCTGCAAGCAGTAGATCATCTGTAATAGATCATCCACTCAATGACAATCTGAAAAAGTAGAAAAATTATTTGGTACTAAAGATAAAAAATAAATTTAACTTGAAATGCTTTTTGAAGTATATGTGTGGAAAATATATATGAGATAATGCTTCCCTTTCTCTCTCTTTATCTTCCTCTTCTATAGGAAGGCTGAGACTGAATTCTTTATGGCATATGCTTTATGTCTTCTGGTTATTTCTATTCATCTTGACCTTTTGAGATATAAATTGACAAATAAACCACATTTTGACACTGCTAATTTATGCATAGTAAAACAATGACTTTTGAACTTTCTTCCAGCTGCTGCTATCTCCTTTGACAGCATTTATCATGCACGTGAAAGTGCCTGCTTATCATATTATTCTTTTTATAATAGTAGTTCCTCCATTAAATTGTGTTGCAGAAATCGAGCTGATCTTACTCTAGGCCGCAGTCTTGCTATTGATTCCTCATATGTGGAGTGAAGTGACAACAGAGGGGCTTTTTTCTTCTAGTATTCTTGAATGGCATTCTGTGGTATCAGTCTTCTGTTACTGATTACAATTGATCTGGCTTTTGATGAGGATGGACAGGGTGTTACCTTTTCCTTTCTGGGTTATGCCTGAGAGAAAGACTAGCAAGTTTCTTTTGTATGCTGAACATTATTAATTTTTCTTTTCAAATAGTTGGAAGTTTTGTGTGTGGGTGGGTTTAGTAAGATTACAGGAATGGTTCTGAATTAATCTTATAAGGAAAAACATGTTAGGCTATAGCATTGTTTTTGTTGTGCTTAAAATAGATGCAATAAAAGGTGATGGTTCCAGTTTTATAAATAAAGTTAAATTTAGTAAAAAATGAGTTTAAAATTAGTAACAAAATTTAGTAAAAAATTAAAAGCTTGAAAATCAATGTAGATTATACTCAAAGCAGATGGGATTTGTTTAGTTCAAACATATGTTTAAATTCTGGAATACTGGATTTTCATATTGCTTTCCACTTACGGTATAGTTTCAGTGTTACACTTTCTCAAGAAGAACACAACAATTCCTGCTCTAACAATGAGAGTGTCTAGCAACATGTCGCTTGGTAGCCTAGAAGATTTATGAAAACTGAAAAAGATCTGATGCTTGTTCTTTGTGATCAGAAAGCAACGGGGGGTAGTTGAATAAGAAGTTTTTGTTAAATTGAGCATGATTCTGCTCAGTTCAGATGACCTTATTACTTAGTTTGATGCTACCGTGTGTGTTTGGTACATTTCCAGTGAAGTGAGTTGCACTATTTAACTGGAAATGACATAACTCTGATGTATTAGGAAAAGCAAATAGTGGTAGGATTGAGAGTGGGGATTTGTATTGGCATGTATAATATAATGCAGTTTGGATAATAAGGTGATCATTGTTCTGAAATGAGTAAAAAAACATAAATAAACAAACAAAGAAGATTAAGTCATACTGCAGTTGTTGGACGAAAAATTCAGCTGTGTGAGAGCAATGCCAGCCTGAACAGCAGGGGATTCAAGCAGAACCATTGCCCAGCCCTCTGGCTGGGAATACTGCTGTTTTAATACATACACAGTGCTGGTGTTGAGCTGGGCCAGGGGATTGATCCCGAGATGCCACCTGGCTGCGGTGCTTGTATTAATAGGACTTTTCCAAGCAACCTCAGGTTTCCCAAGTGTTTCACAAGCTGCATGCAGTAAGAACTGTGTGTACATAGCAAATGGATTTTTTTATCTAACTTTTTTAACAAAATTTACCTCTGTAGCCACTGCAAAGTGACATAAACATAATTTGCTGCAAATTAGATCAGATCTTTCCAACAAACATTGCATTTTTCCCACTCTCCTCCAAAATGGAGCAGGTAATTCTTTTTCTATTACATATATGTATTTATATAAATTTCATGGCATAGAGTAACTTAGATATTACATGCAGAAAATTTTCCGGGTTTCTTTTAATTTCTAGGGTTTTGACAGTTAACGTACAAGTACCAAAGTAACATAAATTATTCTCCCTGCAGAACACTTTACAATTAATTGCAAAATTTGGTTGGGATATTTACTTTTATTTGCAGCTCATTATCTCAATCATACATCTGCTGTCAACCAGGAGGATGGGTGCAAAATTAGTGTGAAGATAATCTGAAACCTACTTTCTGTCAAGGAAAAGGAATTAGGCAGAGATGGCTCAGTAATTGTACCCAGAACTATCAACTGTATAGTAAGATTCTGGTCTCCATCCTATCGGGCAGTATTACACTGCTGCCTTCTTCAGATAACAACCCTCTCCATCTCTGAGATGCTCCTGTCTCATGTTGGAAGCCTTTAAATCTCTCAGCTTGGATTTATGTCCTTTACCTCATTCATCTAATCAGCCTGACCATGCAGGACCTGCTGTTGCCTAAGAAGGTCCATGTGCTCATGTACTGTGTAGCTTCTTTTTACTGTACAATATGGCTTGTATGTCACAAGCTTTCTGAATCCACACACTTTTTGGGAATAACTGCTCGGTCAGGAGGCCCAAGTTGAAAATGAATGTATGGAGGAAGTTTGCCTTAATTTGAATGGTTTGGATAAACTCCCCGTGTGCGTGTGTGTGTGTGAATAAATATATATGTTAGTATAGACTCAGAGTCCCATATTGATTTGTTTAAGACCATTTAAACTTTACCATAAACAAAGGAAAAAAGCTGATCATTTTAATTTGCTTTCATGCCACAGAAATCAATGTTAAATTTAAATATGCCTTACACTTCTCTGATTTTGAGAAATTGTCTCGTCATGGCAGGACATAGCCTAACTGGTAAGAACAAAATAGAATTAATGCAAGTCTGACCTTAGCAAATACTAGCCCCTCAGAATGTGAGTAGGTGTTTGAACTTCAGTAGCCTGCAGATGTCCGTGAAGCAAACTGCTGGTTGTATAGTTCCTTAAAAAATTATTAGCTTGAAAACGATAAGCATTTGACTCTGATAGTATTGCATCCATTATTGGCAAAGTAAATGGGAAAGGTAAACACTGTCTCTGTCACATACACACACTCATGAAGTCTAATAATAGTCAAGAGCATAACTAGGATAATGTTATAGGTCTTTGTTTTCCATGGCTATTCAAACAAAGTAATAAAAAAAGCAACTTGGGCTGCAGTGTTAAGTAGGATAAAGGATACTACTGTCTCTAGAGATCTTGTGAATGCTGACATGCTGTCACAACAGATCAGTCTTATTGAGGATGTTTTGAAAGGCTGTAGGTGGAAGTGGACTTTGTTTTTGAGGCTACACACTGCCAGGCTTTTTTTTTTTTTTTTGTTGGTACTTCGTTTACAGTTCTCTATCTCTTTCCCTGACTTGTTCTGACATGTGTGCCTAAGTGCTCTTGGTCTAGAAAGTTTCTTTGGCACAAGGTGACTTTAAATTTAAATTCTGTGCTCTAAAAATCAATTATCTAATTATGAAGTCATTTAAAGTGTGTAGATTAAAAATAGGACAGTAAAGCTTCAAAAATAAATGATCTCAGAACAGTGCAATTAAAGAAACTTTGTGGCAGAAAATGCACTCATTAGCTGGGATTTTTAATTTCCTTGTCTAAAAGCTACAATAATTTCCTGACTGTGTTTTGAGAAGGGAAGGAAGCCTTGGCAACAGTGAGATTCTGTTATAAGAAGAAACTTGTCTGATACAGGGAGCAGCATTGCCAAATCACGTTTTGCTTTTACTATCATTATTTAGGCTGGAAGACAGAGAGTTAATGCAATGCTTTTGACTAGTATTAAAGCAAGTGTCTTCAAAGAGATTACTTAGCAATGTGACTCACTTCTAGAACTTTTGTAGTCCAAGAGCTCCCAGATACTGTATAAATCAATTTGAAACAGTTGAGAGAGTAGGTGTATTCCGTTGGCTATTCAGGAAAATTTTGACATGACCCCACTTAGATGTAATACTATGAAATACTGTTTCATTCTTTTAATACAGAAATGAAAGCATAATTGGGACATCACTCAAATTTACAGGTTGCCTGGAATGTAAGAAGAGGTTTCAATGTTTATTTGGCAGCAAAAATGATAGCTAGTATCTGACAACTGTCTCATTTTAGACCAACTTTATCCAAGAAGTTGATCTTTCGTACACATTCGTAACAGTTTCTTGTTATAAATAGTGTTAAAGTATTATATTTATTACAGTAATACCACTGTATATAAACTTCTTGTTTGAAGCTGTGCTCAGTAGTGCCAGATCCTGTACTTTCAACTCAACTTTACAAAAGTTGCTCCTTTAAGAATGCTGAAATGAGGATAGATACCAATTTCATCCAGATTATTAAACCATTTATATTTAGTCATCAAAATCAGACCTGCTTAGAACCTGTCTAGGCAGTTAAGAATTACATTTTACAGTGAATAATATGTTGAATATCTGTATAATACTAAACAAGATCTGTCCTATTTTATTATGGCCTTCTGCATGCTGTGTGAATCAAATATATGCCTTTACTGAGCATCATTATAGAATGCTATTGCTGATTATTATTATCATCATCATTATAATCATCATTATAATTATTATATTTTGCTTAAATATTCCCTCTAGAAGAACAAGAACGTTTTTAAAAACTCAGATCCACACACTAGTAGTTTTGCATTTCATCCTAATGTATTTGGTTATATAACCATGATACCAAATTCTTAATGTGAAGAAAAGAACAAAAAAATAGAACATCTTAAGCAAATGGTTTCGAATGTTTCTACACAAATAAAATTAACTTTCAAAATTAACCTGTTCTTCAAATAAGAATTTGCTCTGCTTTTAGGTAATGTGTAAACATTTTCCCATGTATCTTGTTTTACATTGTGACAACAGGACATAGATTGTTGCATGTTGTAAGGTTAATAAAATGTTACAATGATAATAGCAACTTGGCTACATTTGTATTATTAAACATCTAGAATCTGAAAGTTCATTATTATTTGTTATTACTGTTTTGCTGTAGGATGTCAGCTGTAATGAAATCACGGCTTTGCCACAGCAGATAGGCCTGCTGAAATCTTTAAAAGAACTGAATGTCCGAAGAAATTACCTCGAAGTTTTACCCCAAGGTAAAAGCAAATGAACAAAAAATACCTTTATAGTAGCTCTTTTTATTAGCATTTTGGAAGTTTTTTTTACTCATATTAGTAAATATGATTAAAAGGTAGTAATTACTTTGTGTTCAGAATTATTCTGTTTGAGTTTGCAGAGTATAACATTGTGGTATTCACTGAAGAACAGTGTGTGAGGTGTTCTTAATGTCTTATCTTTATGATTCTAGGCGTCTTTTAAGTTACACAGGCATCTGAATGCAATATGGGAACTGTCATCTGAGTTTCAGGAAAAAAAGATATTTCAAAGAATTGGTTTTAATATTTATGAACACTTGCATAATAATAGTGCTTTTCATTTCCTAGTATTGAATGGAGTAAATGTTGAACTTATTCCTCCCTGAGTTTGTATTTTTCCTGAAGGCAAAAGAAGCTTTATTCAGAAATATTATTTTATGGCAAAAATAAAACCAGATATAACACCTTCTCTCCTTTTTGTTACTTTTAGAACTAGTGCATCTTCCCTTGGTAAAGTTTGACTTTTCCTGCAATAAAGTGCTTGTGATTCCAATTTGTTTTAGAAAGATGGTGCAGTTACAAGTATTACTGCTTGAGAATAATCCTTTGCAATCTCCACCAGCACAAGTAAGTAACAGCTATGATTTAAATTGTGCCTTAATATTGGGTGGATGATAGCAAATTATAGACTATAAAATGTCATGTTCTGCAATTGCAAGCTTCTGAATTTCAGTCATCACAGACATTAGTTGTTGAGATCTAAATAGGAAATATCTAAATAAGACATGAAAATGTACTGTGTTCTGTGTATGAGTCTGTGCAACCCTTTAACCAACACACACCTGGAAGATCTCCATTCTGTTAGCTGCTTGTTTATTTTTCTCATTCCTATCTGCATATGAAACCTAATGTCAGAATACGTATATAATTTTGAAAAAGAGAAGTGAGAAATTTCCTGGATAATTTTTCTCTCTGTTAATAAGAATCCAGTTCTAGGAGGTTCTGCAGTGATTTATTATTAACTTAAAGATATGCAAATGGTCTAGAACATAATCCATGTGAAATTTGTTTAACTTCATAGTGTAAGTTTATAGATCGTGATACACGAAGAAATCAAACTCTTGTTCTGAACTGTAGGCCACAGTGAGTAATAGTGATAATAAATGAATGGAACCTGTACTCTGCATCTCTGAAAGTTACAACTGTTCTAAATTAACAGCTGTTGAAATACTTAAGAATTTTTATTCCATTGGAGAAATGGTTTTTTCGTAATCAATAGTGATGCTGCTTTTAAACTAAAAAAAAGAAACAGAGCAAGTTGAAGTGTGCACTTAAAGAAAAAAAATTCTAAAATGCAGGTGAAATCCATCAAAAGAATGCTTGGCCACTAGCAAAAACGATGTGACCAAGAATATAAAGGACACACTAATTAATTAACTGTCAATATTGACTAGTTTTGGGAAGTAATTATTCAATTTATCATTAGTAATAGGCCGCACCATATATTTAATGTAACTTTTTTTAGTTAAAAGCCCATTTGGATTTTTTTAAAGTAGGCTACATTATTTTCTTGTTTTCTGTCTTCATCTCTGAGGGTATTTTTACTGGTACACACAAATAATTGATTAGATAATTGAAGTACTTAGTAATTAAAAAAAGAATAAAATCCATTTTTCTTTATGTGATATTCATTGTAATAGTAGTATTTGGTTTTCAGGGAAGTTTATGCTAAGTGACATTTGAAATAAGTTATTTTTTTCGTTGTAGTTATAAAACTAACTTTTTTTTCTTGTCTAACAGATTTGTACAAAGGGTAAGGTGCATATATTCAAATATTTGACTGTGCAAGCCTGTCAGATTAAAACAGCAGACTCGCTGTATCTTAATGCCATAGAACCACAGCATTTACCACAACCTGTGGAAGAGAGGTATGTATGAAAGTCTCACTTAGTTTTTCCATGTAACACTTATAAACAAAGTTAAATAATATTTATCTTTAGATTCACAAGTTTTGTTTGTTTAGATGCTATTCAGAGTGCGCTTTTTTGAACAGAGATTTGTTTTACTTTAATTTAAATTAATTTGCTTTTATTCTAGTGAAATCCCTCTAAGATCTTAGGAAAAAAAATATTAATCAATTCTAAATGAAGTTAGCAACATGTTTGTTAAGAATTTAAAAGTGAACCTTAGTTTAAATCTAACCTCTTAGTATTGGCCTCCTGTAATATATTAAAAATAATTCAGATGCAAGTAACATTGGGTGTTCAAACTTTCTTGTAAACCTATTAACACACTAAATAAATTTTAATTTCTTGTATTGTTTTGTGATGTATATGTTGTTATACATTTGCAACATAATTTTTAATTCATCCGAAGTCTTATTTGTCAAGCAAAGAGAACCGCATGAATGTTGAGATGCTTTTAAAGTGAAACGTGCTAATCTGTTAGCAGAATGAAGGACAAAATCTTTCGTGTCTTGCATCAAACATCTAGGAAATACCATCTTGTACCATGGTTTAAGGACAGGAACTGAATGTGAAGCACCTCCTTTCTATGAGATGCTCCATAGCCAGTAGGAAATGAGCTTTCAACCAGCTCTTTCTTTGCTAATGTGGGCAGTATAATATAACCAATCAGAGAAGGTATGATATTTTTGGAGAGAAGTACTCAATAAAAACAAAGGGTTGATGTGAATAATAATAGAGATGTGGCTTCTAAAACCCTGGGGGGAAAAAACAAGAGCTGTTATGCAATCTCTCTTTCAGTCATCTATATAAGGTTTCAAACAAACTGTTTTTCTCCATGTACCTTTGGAGACATCTTTTTGAATTTCTATCAGGTAAATTTCGAAGGTGAGAAGAATCCAGGATGAAGAGTAGGTTTTCCATTTGGGAGACACTTCCTGGCTTTCTGTTTTAGTATATGAGAGAATTGACAGGAATGTCATATCTTGTATGATATTTTGATCATAGTGGAGATTACAGGTTAGGGTAAAGGGATAGTACAAAGTAGATATCAGTTGGTAACTAACAGCCTAATGCTCTATCACATAATAATTACCAAATTTTTATTTCAGAGCATAACTTTATACTTCTAATGAAAAACCCAGTTAGGATTTCCATAGGCAGTTTCTGTGAAAAAATCCTTAGTGTTTACTGTTAAGAGGTAATTTAAGATTAGGATGAATTAATCAGATACCTTATTCGTGTGAAGACTCATAAAGCCCCTTTTTTAAATTGCCGTATCAGTCTGAATTCAATATTGCAGCTTTCAGGATAGCAAATGAAGAGATAAAAAAGTATATTTTAAAAAAAGTTAGATGATGAGAGTATTGCATCTAATAGTGTACTTCAAAATGACTAGAGGGCATATCAGGTAATGAAACCAGAAGAGAGAGCAATTGCCATTATTATAGTAATTTTCTTAAAAACCTAAATTTCAAAGTCTATTTTAAAGCACAAAAAGGAGGTTTCTGTGTTAATAGTTACTCTAAGCTGCAGGGAGATATTTTAAATGGATCAATGGTTACAATTAAATCAGTTGACTCCAGTTTGAGTTCAGCTATTTTGGTTGCTTCTCCCAAAGTAAATTGCTTCAGTTGGACTCCTGTGCTACTTAGCTAGTAACTAAGCATTTTTGCCTAGTTTATAGACAAAAATAAACTTATACCAGTTGATTTCTGTTGTTTTCATTAATCCTTAGGTTAACCAGCCACTCCATCTGATCCATTTTACTACTACAAGACTGTAAATTTTTAGTTTTTAACTGTACCGGGCTATTTCACCCTCAACTATTAAGACTGGTTGGAAATTTGCTCTGATTTAAGTGAAACAAGGATAGAATTTGAATGTAAATGCTATGGTAGATTTTACCAATTTTTATTTTTTTTTTTTTATTCACATCTAGCATTGATGACATCTACCCAAGTAAAAAGGACTCAGATTCAGGTGTTGGTAGTGATAATGGTGATAAACGTTTGTCAGCAACAGAGGTAAGTTACTTGCTCTTTGCATCCAGCTCCCCTTCCAGCACTCATATTTTGCCTATATTTTTAATTTGAATAGATTTTTAGCCATAAAAACTCTGCAACCATATCCTTGACATAAATTTCTCACTAAGAAATGGCTGAAATAAAGATAAAAGGAGACTGGGATATTTTAAATTCTTTTTGTGTGTACGCTATCCGGAGAGGGCAGTGAGATACTTGCTTCCAAGTGATCAACAACCTACCAATAATGAAAATTCACTACAGTTCTCAGGCAGTTTACGTGATCTAGAGAATGAGAACCAAACCAGAATCCACATCTGCTGTTTTCAGTGAAGGAAATATGCCAACAGGTTACAGACTTACGACTTCTCACTTGATTTCTCTCTGACTGATAACTCTTTCCTGTTGGGAATTAATAGTGCCCAGTCCCAATATGTTCTGTGATGGGGTTATGGCAGATTGCTGTAGTGCAGGAGGTTAGACAATGCTGGAAATAAACCTTCAAACTGTTTTATGAACTATGATGTCTGACTGAACAAAGAGAAAGAATAGCTTTGTGGGACTAGTGTTGTCCTAAGCAGTTAGAACTGACTTTCCTAGACCTTTTCTTCTGAGGTGCTGCCCAGCTGAACAGGGCACTAAATCTAGTTGGAGTTGAACTGAATAAATAAGGATAAATAAGTACATAATTAACAATATAATTCAGTAATGATCTTTCTGAAATATACAGTGACAGAATTTGTGATCTGACCTTATGGGAAATATCTGGGTCACAATAGAATAATGACCTTCTCACTATTTAAAATAATTTTACAATGATTCTTTAGTGTTTGTCTCCTCCTTTGAGGAAAAGGGATTCTGTTGCTTTTGGAACAAATGTATAGAGAATCAAGTAATGATTTCTAGCCAAACCTCTAATGGTTTCCCTCTAGCTATAAGAGCATGTAGTCCATTCAGAGGCACTTACAAACTGTTTTGCCATTTTTACACTTCCTGAAGCTAACTTAGCTTGTTAATAGAACTATTATTCCAGAATTTCCTCTTTAGCTACCACTATTAGAAAATAGATCGTATTACCTGTAATCAAAATGTAGCAATTTAAATGCTGCAAAAAATATTTTAAAGACAACTAACAGTGTGCCACTACGTTTTTAATAGCACAAAGGTTTTTTTATGTGAGAACTGTTTACTCATTCCATCCCTGCCTGACTACTGCTCTGCTATTAAGGAGAAATAGATGCTGAGATCAGTAATCCCAAATGCGTTTGGTAATAAATTTACCACTCACTGTCCTTCTGATGAGATCTTTAATACCTGTGTAACACATGAGAATTGTGCAAGAAATATTAGCATGTTGCAAATATAGATTCACATACATTGTCAGTTACAGTCAGAAAGCTACATACCAAACATTAGATGAACATTAAATGATCAGTGATAAAATGATCATTAAAACATGTCTAGGGGTTTTTATGAATACAAATATGGTAATTTAGTCTAAAGGGTAGTGGCTATTGAGTTCCCAGTCTTTTACAGGAAATACTACAGTGTCATTTTGCACGTGTGTAACTTAAAAACAGTAACTTAAATTAATCACTTGTTTGAATACTAATGTATTTTTTAGGAAGCTTGTGAATTGGCTTTGGTTGAATACGCCTAGGAGGGAATACTAGTTATGTATCTCTGTCTGACTTGGTAGGGTCCTTACAGCATCCATTTTCAAAGCTACAATCATCTTGGGCATTTCAAGGGAAAGATATCTTGTAGTGTTGCTGTCAAAGTGATCACAGCAACTTAAAGGCATTTTCTGCTTTAAGGTAGCATACTCCTGTACTTCATCTTATAGGAAAAGTCTAGCATTTTGATTCGTTTTCAATCTCACATTGGCCTTATTGTTTTCTTTTGTTACAGTTCATTAGAATGAGAGGGTACTTGCTAAGATCCAGATGGTGCCCGTGCTTTATTTCCCATATGAGTGATGCATTAGTACCAGCAGGAATGTATATGAACATTCTGTCAAAGTGCATCATCTGAATTCTATGTCAGAATAATGTTAGGTATTTTTGATTCTTATATGTCTATTGTCTTCTGTTCCTAGCTGAATAAAAAATAAAACTGTGAATGAAGGAAGTGAGATACAATATTTCACGTGTGAAGGAGCAATACTTTTGTATTATTGCAGGCTGCTTTGGATAGTTTCTGTTTCAGAGTATACTGGCAGGAAACACCTGGAAAATCAGTTACAGAATTCTGTAGGTCTTGAAAGTGACACATAGCCTGCTTTGTTTCCAAACTGAATGTCCCATGACTTTTTTTATACCAACACTCCAAAATATTTTTCTTGAAGTGTGTTACTCTGCTGAGAAAAAACCCCCTGTTTTGTTATTCAGAGCTTGTAGTAGTGTGTATAGGAACATTTTACTGTACTATTTTTGAATTCTGGTTGAAAAGTTAACAAAACACGAACTTTCATCTAGAATAACTAAATTTAGTGCTTAAATGTCACATGAGATGTAGTCTGAAAGACAGAGAAGGAACTTCACTGTAACATCGGTTGTCTGAATGAATTTATACTGTGTGTGTCTTTTTTTTTTAAGCTATTGGGTTATCATTGCTTCAGATCTAAAAGAACAGTGACTTTTGTGCTTAGAATACTTAGAGCATGGTTTGTGTCTTTTCCATTTGAGATATTAATTTATTTCATTTTAAAATATAATTAATTTTAAAATTTATAATTTATTTTGAAAATGCCTTATGAAGTCCCTGAACATCCTTTTGAATTTTTTTCCCCTTTAAGCAGAGGAATGCAGCCAGTGAATTCATCACATTAATAACATGCAGCTTATAAGGAAGAAGATTCATGGTTGTCCATGTTTACAAAATATTTTAAGTCCAAGGTATTCTGGGAAAATAGGAATAACCACATGTATCTTTGCAGTTTTTAGAAACAGGATAGATTTGCTCCATCCTTTATCACGAACCTTAGCTTCAGGATTTTAAGAAAATATTTTCTACCTGGAATATGAACATATAAAGGTAGCAAGAATGGCATAGTTCTACTAGAAGCTAGCAACTATGGAATTAACTGACTGGATGTAACACTCTCCCATTCCATTGGAGATCTTTTGTTAAAATGGTCTGAGCTGACAACATCAGAAATATTTCCTTAAAATATATAATCTGAAGGGATATGGAACGAACTGCTATATATGTATTATAACAGCTGTAATTACAAGAATGCGTGTATGGAATATGTATGTGCAGAGTAGCAAGTTACAGAAATAGAGGATTTAAAGAATGAGTAACACCCGTGAGTTTGTTGGGAAATAACATTTGCAAAGTTCTGAGACAGTTCTTTGTGGTAAGTTCTGTCTCTCAGGAGAATTAAGAATAAAGACTTGGCTTCTTCTGCAAACTGTGGTTTTGCTCTAGTTCACCTCAGGAGAGAATATGAGCAGGTCCCACTCGAGCCAGGTTGCTGCTCGCCCTGCAGAGCAACAAAGCTTTGGTGGCCTTGGACAGAAGTGAAGCCTAGTGTATCGATGCCTCTTTGTGCAGCCACTGTCTGTAAAGTCATGGACAGAAAAACCCTGTAGATATAAGTAATGTGTTTTATTGTACCAGCTAATAAAGCTGAAAAAATATGGATGAGCTTTTAAACCAAGACAAAGTATTGTACTTGAGTCTTATTCTCTTTTTTTTAACTCTGTCAGTTAATATAATTAAAGATATTGCTTCGGTCTACAAAGTTCATCTTGTTCACCTTAAGGCATTCAGTTAACAAGCTGCATGGTAAAGCAGGGAAGAAGAGTCCTGGAGGGAAAGAAAACAAGGACAAGTGATAAGAGACTCACTGTTTGTACAGACTTTGGTGGCTACAAGGAGGTCCTATTTTCAACTGGCCCAGGAAAGCACAGAGAGCAGCACAGTGCAGCAGTGTCACTGCAGGGGGAGGACTAGAGCAGTGAGGGAGAGAAGAAAAGAGGACAGATGAATTGTTCTGCTTGGCAAACCTGTGAGGATGTATTTAGCATGACTACAACTTCCTACAACAGGATTTGGTCATATGCTCTAGTATCCTCTCCCATGTTAACTGGCAACTGTTTAGTGAGCACTCTTCTCAGTATGTACATTTTTCTCAGTCTAGGTTTAGTTTGGAACTAGTGTTTCTCTTATTTTTTCCCAGCCATGTGATGAAGATAATGTCAGCTTTAATGTTCCAATGTCAGACATCATGGAAGAAGATCATATTATAAAGGAAGATTCAGCTCATCATGCTAACTCAAGAAAAGGTTGGAATGTAAAAACCATGGAAGTTAAATACGGGGGTTGTTGGTTCCATATCTGCCTACCTACCCAGAAGGTTTTGAGCATGCATATGCAGTTGTGTAATCTGAGTCCTTATGGTAGTTTTCCATAACAATTCCAATAAACTTGTTACACTGTGTCTCAAGACTTAGTAAGATCTGATTTTGACTGGGGGGAAAAAAGTGAAAGTTGTTTTAAACCATGCTTCCCAACCAGTAATATCAATGTGCAGTAATTTAGCAAATGTACAGTATCAGAGTCCATTTCTATAGTTGGACTTAGTGCATATGTAAAACTTTATTAGTCAGCTTTGCCTCTGGAAACAACTAAAGCTCTTCAGATTTTTGAGACGGTGTAATTTTATCTAAATTTTTTAAAGTAACTTATATTTTTCCAAATTATACTACATACCAAAAAACAATGTTTCTCCAAGTTCTGCACATACTAATGATAAATGCAGGAGGAAGTCAGTGAATTGCATATGGCAACCACATAAATAGGTCAGCCTTTACACACTTAAGTTAAATGAACTTCAGTTGAGATATTCATTGGAATTTAAAAGAATACAGAGAGAGATAGTAAAAGTATTATATCCTACAGTGTTTATTAGCAAACTGGAGAGGGTAAGTTATAGGACCATATCCCTGGAAATACTATATGTAGGCAAGAGATTGGCATAGGCTCTGAATAATTTTGGTAAGCATTTGACCCTTCATTACAGCATGATAACTCTGAAATTACATTCAACTGCACATCCCTGGCTGTGACATCTGAATGTCTTAAAAAACTCAGTAGCTGTCCAGCTGTGTTCTTGTACCAGTACTGGCAGGACAGACTTGGTGTAGTTAAAAACTGACTTCATCAATGCCTGCTGTGGTGCTTCAGATAGACAACTGTATATGCCCAGGGTATTAATTTATTACAACTTTGAAATGAATTGGCATCAGTCTTTACAATGCAAAAGTCTTACTTAACCTGTTTGAAGTTTTTAATATGCTTTGAATTTAAACTTTGGTTTTGAGCTCTATAATTTAATACAGTTAAATTATGTTGAGTAACAAATGTTGAGCTGAACCAGAAATCATTCTTCTATCTTTTTTTTATTGCTGTTACTAGTGGAATTCCATCAAGGATCTTCTCACTTGATTGTCAATGATAAGTCAAGAGAAACAGTAAACCAGTTCGATGAATCGGATACTCTTACTACTGAATTTATGAGTTACATGAAGGCAAGTTTGCAACAATTTTAAGTGGGGGAGAAATATTTTTACTACTTCCATAAGTGCAGAGCAAACAGGAATATAAACTGCATATATTTTAGTGTATAAGAGACTGCAGTTGATATTCATTGTTGTGAAAAGATACAGAAAGCAAAAATAAACAGGTAGGTTTAAAATTATTACAATTAGTTTAGGCAATCAATTTACCCGTAACACTTTCTAGTATATGTAAGAGTTATTTTCTAACTATGTTTAAGGCTCTAGGAAAAAAAGGTGGATATGTTTTGTGTTACTTGCTTTATATTTTGAATTGAGCAATTTTTTGTATTTGTTACATTGCTAAAATGCAAGACAACTTTGTGCTAGCTGTGGTGGCTAAAGTTTTGAAGTAGTATTATGGTAGTAAAATACATTTTCTTAAATTTTTTAAACATTATAGTAAAAATTGAGAGATCTATCAAGACAGATTGTATCAAATCACCTTCTAGAATAAGTGCTGTATTTTTGTTATCTTATGATGTGTACTCTTCTTATAGGAAAAATCATATTCTTCGTTCCTATAAGGTGAAGAAAAATGGAAAAGAATGGCTTTATTCACTCTAGTAGGGATTGGCACTGGCAAATTAGCTGTCATTGGAGAATGTTAGAGAAACTGGTACACTCCTCAGTGTCCCATATGGCAGAGTTGGACAGCATTTATTGGTACAGGGTGATGCAACTATGTGCCAAACATGACACAAGAGAGGATAAGCCTCTCTTTTCTGCTGTTGATTCTCTTCAAGTACAAATGCACATTCATTCAGAGAGCTTCTGTCTTTATTGGCAGCTGAACTAGTTCAGTGTTCCTGCCTGTCTGAGATGAAAGGGACAGTTGCAAAGCACCAAGTGGAAGCGTAAAAGAGGGAGTCAGGTTTTCAAATAGGTATAACTTCATGGTTATAGGTGTAGGAGCTCTAATTTATGCCTACATTGAACCCAAAATAACTGGCTGACTGATACGAAGTCTTGCATGCAATTTTTATTCTGATTTGTTCCTTTTTTAAAAAAATGTTTCATGGCCATCAAAATTGTCACTTATGAATTCTGTTAATAATTATGGGTGAAGTACATAATTGCCACTGTTTGTGTATTTGGAATTTCCTTGCTCTGTAAACAAATCTGGCTGTGGTAGGAGGGAAAGTAGGAGGGGAGAGTTAGGGTCGTGTTTAATTGAAGCATTGTTTCTATGTGCCAGAAAGTCACAAGCAGAGTCTGGGACATAGAATGAAGAATTCTTATGCAGCTTGACTTTCTTTTTACTGTTAAAGGAGGGTAAGGGCTGTTGACCTCAATAAAATCTGAAGAGTGAATAGAAGATCTTGTAATCAGTATTTTAGAAGGGGGTAAAGGAAGGAGTGGAGTGGAAGCATTGAATTGCTTCAGGTAACCAACCTAAACTGTTACATAAATTAGGTCAGTGCAGAGTCTGAAAGCAAAATTTATCTGCCTACTTAATTGCAAAGTTCAGTTCTCATTGTCGCTTTTGTCTGCTTACAGAGCAGAGCAGCGGAGTGTGATGAATTATTGAGAATAGAAGAGGACATACAATGGCAAACAGACGAAATGTGAGTATTTTTTATGTATCTATAAGTAATTAGCTGTGTCACTTAATTAGTTTGACCAGAACTGATATTTCCTTGTCAGTTAATAATTTTGTAGACTTAGAGGCATGACAAATGCATAGCCTTTCACTTTGTGTGTGCTCATTGTTTTACGTATTATTGCTGAATAGAGTGGATGTTATATTACAACTAATTAATTTGTATGCACCAATAATGCTGTAATGTATTTTACCTTTGTAGAATGCAAGCTTTTTTATTAGATATTTTGATATTTAGCTTATTAAAGGCATTGGTAACAAAATATTTTATCAGAACTTGTAAGATTTAAATGTAATGTGCATTTAAATAATCAATTTAATTGGAAACATCCCTCCATTTTTTTTCTTCTTTTATCATAATTTTAGCTGTGGAGCAATCATTAACTCATAGATATTAATTCAAGAGTAGAACAAGTGAACATCAGTTGCTGGGGTGAATGCATAAGAAAAGGGAATTTAACATGACAGTGTACTGTGAAGTTGTCACTTATCAGAACAGCGTAGTCCTATATGATGCAGCAATGAAAACTGAAGGAAGGAAAGAAGTACTTTCTGAAATAGCCTTACTGGCAGAACTAATAGGAGATAATACTTCTAAACCCCAAAAAGAATTACAAATGTTGAAAAGCAAAAGAAAGCAAGCTGGCCTTTAAAAAAAATTCATTGTATTTATGTTAATACTGTTCATGTTAATACATGTGATGAGTGCAGTTAAGAGTCAAATATTGGTAAATAAATTTTCAATTTTAGAATACATTCTATTTTATTGAATACTAAAAGTTTTAGTTCATCAGATTTGTTTGTTTATGTATGTCTTAGGTTGAGGGGATTTGTTAAGGGATTTGTTTTTCAGAAGAAACTCTTTCCATAAATTCAGCACATACTGGTGTGCAGAGAGGCTGTTTTTCTCTCTCTATAGTGCTTGCATGCCAGTTGGAAGATGCAGCTCACAAACTGAAATCCAGACTACCCTTGATAATTGCTGTTATACCTTTTCTTTGAATGCTTTTTTTTTTGTTATAGACTAAATTTATCAGAAGAACAAACTATTGATATAGCAGTGATAGAACAACTAAGAGAAGCAGTAGATTTATTACAAGATTCCAACAGGTATGCTTACAATAGCTGATGTGTTAATGTAATATATTTTAAAATTTTATTAATTACTCTAGAGTAGTCTTTTAAGTGACAATTGATAAAGTTTTCTGGAGTTATGAAGTGCTTTGTTAGCATAGCACTGTATGCAAGATAGTTAAGAAGGAAACTTGCATTCTCTTTCTGAGTATCTAGACAAGATTTCCAGTAAAATAAGCAGATTTCAAGTATAAGAGAAACCTAAAATTAGAGATGAGGACACCCCTAGGCATTCATCTCATGTACACTACTGTAATATTCTGATGTTTTGTCCAGGATTTTCACGTTCTTTTAGAGAATATAAATTTTCCTCTTACTCATGGTTGGTGTATTTTGTTGGACTGAGAAGGTCTTCTGGCCCATCTTCATCCCAGTTCAATGGAGCACATAAATGAGGTACCTGAATTAGTGATGGAGTTTCTTTAGTCTTCTGAAATCCAGAGGAGAAAGAGGAGAGGCTGAGTAATCTGTTTAGACTTCCCCTGACTACAGAAGGCAAGATTTTATAATTTAGGTGCCTGTTTTAAGAGGCTGAAGTCTAGGTGGAATGACTCTGAGTTTGTGGCTAAGCAAAGGAATAAGTATTGAAAAGAAAACAAATACTTGCCCTACTGGAAAAGTCTAACAATAGTGGTGTAGGCAGTTCTGTCCAGATGCTTGCTATTGCTTTTCTTTGTGTAACGACCTTCAGAAATTGATAAGTTCAGTTTAATTCTTACTTCTATGAGGTAGCTGGTTTACAGCTTCATTTCTCTGAAGACTAGAAACCTCTTTGTCACTTCCAGTCTTAAGTATACTTGATTCTCTTTCCTCCCTTGACCAGTTCACCACAGCTATTTGCTTTTGTGACTACACTGTTCTTTACTTGAAATGCCTATTTTGTTACTGATTTTCACCTAGCAGACCTTTGTGCTTTTAGGACAGAAATTTGCTCCTCTTAGTATTTCTAGAGGCACAGTTAGCTGGCTTTATTTTGCATCATGTAAAGAATACTTGAATTCTTGAATCATATAATGAATACTTGAATCAGGAGTATTTTTGTTTAATAAAATATTGTACAAATTAGGAAATCTCTTTAGTTCCTATAGCTTCCTAGTACCATTGCTTCTGCATATTGTATGAGGCTTATTACCTTGTGGGAAGAGTTTTGTAGTTAAAAAAGGAAAAGATTTGTTTGAAGAAAAAGCAACAGTGAAAAAATTCCAATTGTTAGCCTTTTGTCATTTTGATTTTCGTTTCCAAATGTTGTTCCAGTATATCCTACATATTTAGGGTTTTTTATAAAATTAAAAAGGTCAATAAAATACAGAAACTCTGTTTTCCTATGCACATGCAGGTGTGCTTTCATTAGTAAGACTACAGTAAATTTGAAATGAGACTTTTAAAAATGGCTAATCATGTAATATTTTTACTAATGGGTATGATTATTAAACTTGTAAAATGTTTGTCCTGTAACTATTGTTTTAGTGTTCTGCGGAGTTTCAAATCTGCATATCCTACATGCACATAAGCAGCATTTCAGTTCTGGGAAGGAAAAAGATTTCAGATTCAGTCTTCTTTTACAATATTTTCAGATGTTTGCTTCATATTTCTATATTCCCTTTCCTATATTTACTACTTTCTTTCATTTTCTCATGCACTGCAAGAGCAAATTAATTGTGAATATCTAACCAGGTCTGTGGCTTCCATTTGGACAATGGATGCTAGAGGTCAGATACAGAAATCTGCAGATAATGGCATGGTTGTTGGTAGTAAACAGGTCCTGTTTTGATACAAGCCGTTGCTCAGGGTGATATTTGCAGATGAGAACATTAAAGTGGCTTTGCTGAACTGAAGCATCAGGAGACACTTTCAGTTCTTAAGAGTTAACACTGAACAGGTTAAAACCATGACTATAAAAGTATTTCACATATCCATTTGTTTGAAATTAAGTGCTAAACAGAATGGTTGCAAAAGCTATACCCCAGTGCAGTGTTTTTGTTTCAAACCTTGCAGATTTAGCATAGATATTTCAGAGAGCAGTGATGCGAATCTGTATCCCATGGAACCAGCAACAGATTTAGAATTTCAGTAAAGCGTGTTTATACAGCTTCTTTAGAAAAAAAGTAATGCATTTGTTAGATGCATCATATTCAAGTTGCTGCATAATGAATTACATATTTCCATTTGTTTGTCTTCATACATAGTGGTCAAATACAGATGGAGATGGCTTCCCTTGGTCAGGTATGTTAATGAGTGTATTATTACAAAATATTTTTTGGGGGAAAAACAGGAAATGAGCCAACAATTTCATCAATTAATAATCTACCAAGTAGGGAAGGGACAAAGCTAGTAGGCTGGAGGACAGAACTCATTTTTCTTTAACGTATGTATAGAATTGTTTGTGTGGGGTTTTTTTTATCTGTATATGTAAAATTTTTCTAGGTTTATCACTTACTTTTTCATTGTAGTTTCCCTGCTCCTGTGTGTAACTGTAATGTATGCCAGTTCAGTTATGCATCCTTGTCTACCATCTGACCCCCCCATCTCCCTCTTCTGGTTTAAGAAAACAGTGCATTCATTAAGAATAACCACAAAATATTTTGTGAAATAACAATTAGTGTTTTTCCAGAGTACTGTCCTATAGTTACAGACACTATCTGAAGTATATTTTTGGAGTTTTACAGAGTGATATATGCAGCTTATTATTTTTTCAGTATGCTGACCGGTGGACTGGTATTCTTTATGAAGTAGTTTTAGATTTACATTATCTATCTGTTAGCACTGGAACTGTAATTATATAGTATCTGCTTACTTCTTTGTTTGCTTTTCAACACAGTATTTGTAAGAAATATTTTAAGGTAATGTTTTGCAAAAAAAAAAAATAGTTCTATTTCCAGTGGTGCACAGTCTGAAGAGTTATTTATCTTACAGAGAGAAAATGCTGAAGAGGAACTAGAATTTCAGAGGAGGAGGGAGTTGATTATGGAGAAAGCAAAGCCTGAAGCGAGAACTTGTGAACACAGTGAAAAATGGTCATTAAGTCAGGTATGGAGGTGTCTAGATGCAATAAATGTGGAAACATTTGGCATGGATCTTTGCATTCTGTCAATTTATGTGTGGGGATTATGGGTTTAGGCCCATTTGGGGGGTTGGTCTGGCTTTGTTGTTTTTTTGGTGTTTTTTTGCCTTACCATGAATCTCAAGGTTTGACTGTAAATGGAAAGTTGATTAAGACCTATCTCTTAGGAAGGAACTGATATAATACAATTAATAAAAGTATTTTTGCCCAATATAAAGTATAATAGTTGCAGTGGTTGTATTCCCCTGGAAAAAAATCTCACCTCAAAGTTATATCTTCGAGAAAATGAAATACCTGATTCCTCTTCTGCCCTCACCCCAAATATTCTTGTAGTTATATAAGCTTCCAGCTTCTTATTAGCAGCAGTATTTTTATTGTGTTTAATATTGCAAGCAGACTGTTTATAGGTTGAGATGATAGTTTTAAAGTTTCAAAAATATTTTAAGATTTCTGTACGTTGTAATGATCCAGAAATAAAGAACTGCAAAAAACCCTAATTTAAATATTTGAGGCATATATTATTACTTCAGAACTTGCTATATAAGAATTTTTGTGACTGTTCTTGCAAGAAGATTGTGAGAACAAAATTACAGAACATGCTGTTTATACTGATAGTACATTAATGTGATCTATTGTATTTTGGTTTGTGTTGATACCTTTCAAATATTTTTATGTGTCATCATCTTTACTATCAACTATTCCTACGATATCCTTGTAACTTTGTTAATCTGAATTTTGTCTTTGCTTTTTCTTTAAAATGTCAAAAAAATTGAGTTGGTTAATCACGTTTGTATCGTACATTGGGTTTATCACATTTTATTTGTAACAGTTCTTATTGCTTGTTGAGGTGAACAGATAAGACTAATTCAGTGTCAAAGTATGTGTGGTCTCTGTAGTTTAATGAACTGTTTAACAAGGATACACCACTGAAGAAAAATCTTTCTAAACACCTGTGGGGGCCTGATATGAATTGTATTATGCAGGTGAAAGTACTAGGCACATTCTGTGACATGGAAACACTTCCTGCAGGACCAAGTTTTTAATCATACTGTGTTCTTTGCAGTACAGTAAGCACTTGTGTTGCTGCTTATGTTACTAAATGAATTCAATTCAGCATAAATTCAAAATTCTGACTAGCACAGAAGTGCTCAAGCATGCAAGTCCCCAGGTAGAGCTGGCTGGGATCAGATGAGTAAGATTTCTTTCTGTTTATTCTAGGTAATACAGTGGTTGAGATAATGTTATGAAAGATGTCTAAAGCTGAAGAATTTTTTTTAAGCTTGAAAAGTGGCCAAGAAAGGTTATGAAGCAAAATGGGTGTGTAATCTTCCTTCCCATCTTGCTGGCTTTTGGAAAGCTCTGTGATTCTTGGGACCTAGTGTTCCAAGTGCTCTCTTTTATCTTATCTACATTTTTTATCTATTAAAAAAACTTTTGTCCTAAGGAAATTGTTTTGAATTGAATTATAATTTACTTATGCCAGCTGTGTTTCTGCTAAGTTATGATTGAAGCTGAATTAATGATATTATTTCATATTTATTAATGTGATGTACATGTTTCCAATATAACTGTGGCAGAAGTGGTAACAAAAGGTATGTTACATTGCAGTTATAAAATTAATTGCTTATGGAATACTTCTCTCCTCAAATCTGTATTAAAAATGTATATTTGCATACTAAACCTTGGTGGTAGTTTAATTAAAAAATATGTGAAACAAAATTATTTGCTGCATTTTAACCAAAAACATTAAAATCTTACAAATACAGTTATAAACTCTTAGTATTGAAGCTAAAAAGTTAATGACAAATCTGTGTGAATAATTTCCACATTTTTTTAAAGTGTTGCTTGGCTAGCAATAGCAATAATATTTATTATTTATGCAAATTAATGGTTTCAGTGAAAAAAAGAATTGGGTATTAATATATATCTGACTATCATGAGTAAAATGCCCCATTGTGTTGTATCACTAATATAGTTTCTGAAATAGTTTTTTCTTTTCTTTTTTTTTTTAATCTTTCCAAACATGCAGAATGATCTAATTGTTTGGAATACAAGTGGACAAACCTCTCACAATGAGGTAAGATGCTAGTGCCATTTGTTTGTCTCTCATATATTTTATATGGGTGTTTCATATACTGAATGAAATGTAACTGAATATCACAGAACATATGACTGAACTCATCAGAAATGGATATGGGGCTTGTTTGGCCTGTGGTTCATTCTTGTCATCTTAAGGATTTACTAGCATATAAAAATACACTTTCTGATAAGCTTATTTCTGAGTTATGTAGTTTAGTATAAAACGTTTGGTTTTTTTAATATTTTCTCCTTCTACATTGCATTGTGCATGAGCATCTTGCAAATTCATGAGCACCCAGGCACCTTCCACCAGTCTTGGTGATGGGACTTATATAGTTCCCAGCTCCCAGAGGAATCACTTTTTAAATGGGATTCCTATTATGGAGTTTAGTCATAGGACTTCTTCTGTGTTACCATTAGTGGTATGATGATTATACCTCACCTTCTCCCGTATGTTGCTGCTCCATTCTTCCTGCTGCAACTCTTAGCCTAGTTTAGGGTCAAGGGTGATCCTGCTCTGAGGTGTATGCTTAATTTCTCCTTTTCTGCTTTTTATGGAGAAATTCAGTGTTGTGTGGAAAATATTGTGCACAATAGTAACTAATTCTGTGAAAGAAACAAACGTATCTAAGGAAAAAACACGTCTTTGCTTTCTTTTTCTAAATGTACTCTGCCGCAAAATGTATATTTGATGGAACCAAGTGATGACATGGGAGAAAACTGAGAAATAATTGAGCCTATCTATAACTAGGGGGAGTATCTTGCTGTCTTTTGTCAGAAACTCATCTTTTCCAGGAGAGGAATAGGGCACAATAAAAAAGGGAGATTGTCAAAGTTTGAGGCTATATTGTAATCAGATTATGGTGGAGTTGTAGCATGCAGAAACTTTTGCATTTTACGTAGTCGGATATGCTGAGATATTCTGGATGTTACTCTTATTTTGATTTATGTTCTTGAATTACACAGAATAAGGATAAAAGTCCAGCAATGTCTCCAACTACAAACACCACAATCCCTTTTGGCCTGAAGCCACGATCAGGTAATGTGGGAAAGAAAATTGACCAACTTGTGTGTACTGGTTTGGGGTTTCTTTACATCTGTGTTTTTATTAGATGTCTCTATTTTTTTCCCTTAAGAAGGCAACAGTGTAACATTTTCTGTACAACAGTCAGAAGATCAGAACATTTTAAAGTTTTATAGGTTTGAATCAAGATTAAATTTGTAAGAAGTATGTATTTGGCATATTATATATGGATCAGTTTTCATCCCTTACTAATAAATTAGATTTTTTATAAAATTATATGTGTATACATTAAAAAATATGTGTTTGTATCTAATGATATGTATTTTATGTGTATATACATATTTATCATCTGTGCTACATACTAATTGAAATAAAAGTTTTACTTGATTGGTATGTAGTGATAGAGTTGAGATTTTGTTGAATAATGTATCTGAATAATTGTTTGGAAGACACTTATACATTGCTCTGAAAATTGTTCCCTGCATTGAGCCTTTCAGTATTTATGCTTGTGTAAAGATCAAGCATTATGGGAAGATCAGGTCTTTACCTCATCGAGTTTAATGAATTTAATGAATACACTAAATCTGGGTAACCACCAGTCTTTGTGACAAACAGCAGTTTATTTAAAAGCAAACAAAACAACCAAAAAACAAACAACAAAAAACCCCCAAACATATATATGTATTTGAGAGCTTGGATAACAGCTTCCTTTAAAAACATGATTAACTCAGTCTCTGTTCTGAGGTAGTCAGTATTGTTAAGTCATCTCACATCTCCTCTAAAGAGTAACTATAGATTTTTCAGTATGTTTCAGCATCCTAAGACTGTAGTTCTGATTTCTCGCATTCACCACAAATGCTTTTAAGCAAGTGCTCTTAAACCACTACAAGCTTGTAGTTTCCATAACAAAATACCTTGACAACAATGGCAGCAATTTAGCTTTTTGAATGTTTATGAAACTGTACCCATAGATTTGGTGGGGGTTTTTGTGTTTTGGGGGGGGGTTAAGTGTTAAAAGGCAAGGAAAATGGTACTGAACCAACCTTTTTTATGAAGGAAGATACTCTTAAGTTTCTCATGTAGTTATGATACACAGTTTGACAGATGTGTTCATTTGCGTTGCTTAGATTGTTGGAATGTTAAACTCTAGCTCAATTTTTTTCCCCGATGATTTAGAGATGATGTTATTTCCATATATATCTAAATTATGAAAATACAAAAATGATGAGCAAATGGGTCTTTTCAGGATTTGTTGAAAATGAAACATTGAGTAATACCGCATAGTCCAGTGGCAACATTGCAATGACACTGTTAGGAGAAGATGTGTGAAAGCAAACAGGCCCGTGCCATGTTGCTGCTTTCATAGGATGTGGCCTGTGTTCTGAGCCACCGGTGAAATCTGCTGCAGGGACTGGAAGCAGCTTTGTTGGAGAGTATGCAAGACCATGACTTCTTGTTAGTTTAATGTGCGCTTCCACATCTTGGTTATATCAGTGTGCCAAGATTTCCTATGCTTAATGACTGTAATAGGTCAGGGCAAAATAGCCTATTGACTCTTTTTGAGAGAATTTTTAGGAAGACAGGATTGTAATGTGTTGCAGTCCTTTGCAACAGAACTTTCAAGTCATGTCATGGAAGACTAGGTGTACACAACTCCTACAGTTCTTTCCCAAGTATATGGCAGCTGTGTATAGCCTCAGTGAGCACCAAAGTCAGTTGGTTAGAACCTGCTCATTTTATGCACTATACTAATTCAAGTTCATACATTTTAATAACTTTGAGTATACCAACACTATAGAATTATAGTATTATACAGTATAGTATATACTATACTGTAGTCTTTTGGTCACAGTATGGGTTGCAGTAAACTTGATAATCTGAACTTATTTTCTTTTCCATGTCAGACGCAACAGTCACCTGATCACATACAGTTTCAGTCACGTTAACTTAAATTTACGGCAAGGTAAAATAGGGGAACTTGGTAATAGTAAAACTTTAGGTCCAACTTCACATAAAAATACAGTATATTAGCTATGTAGTACCATGTAACAAAATGAAGCCGTGCAAAGGCATAGTAAAGGTTCATATTGTTTCCTGTTCTGCTCCCACCATAGAATTGCTTTAAAAATAGTATTAAAATTTTTTTTGCTAATATCTAAAAAAAATATACAGATAAAAGTGCATGACAGAAAATACTGGCATGGTTTTCCTTTTAAAGCTGATTAGCTTGCCAGGTCTCTAGTTTCTTCATGTTTCCTTTAAAACTTTGTGCAAGTTTTGTGAGTTTGAACCATCCTATCACTGTCGGAATTTACACTTCTTAATTATATACTGCTTTATTGCCCTAGACCTGAACTAGTGTAGAGGTCCAGCATTTCTGTGATCTAGGAAAGTTTTTCAGCTTAGTTTGTAGTTTATTCTAATAGCTTTTTTTCATTTAAGTTCTTCATGGCCTTAGGTGAAGTGTTAAAACTCACTGGAAATGTAAGCTCTAATGAAGTTAAATAGTTTTAATGAGTTTTAAGTACTTAACTTTATTAGAGCTTACATTTGAATTAGTTGCTTCTATAAATCTTTAAAAACCATGTGCAAGATTAAAAGAACATTGAAGTGTTCTAACTAAAATGCGTGCATCATGCTCTGTGGAAAAAATAGTGGCAGATTTTCAATGAAAATATATGCAGCCATATTTTTTCAGGAATTTGAGAGTTTATTTTCACTGTGTTTATTGTCATCTATTTTAAATGAATGTTGCTTTCTACTTGACTTTCCCCCATCCTCATCATTTCGTAATGATTTATGTCTCTTGGAAAGGTAAAAGTAAACTGTTCTGTGTCTGGTAAGGATTCCAATTTTTTGAAGTACACACACAACTAGAATTGTGTCCAGAGGATAAACCACAGTGGCTTAAACTTCTGTGTTAGTACATACTGATATGTGTTCAGGACTGAAGGTCCTTTTATTTTTCATTTCAAAACTAGGCAAAACATTGGGAAAATTCATATCTGATGGCTGACAGAAAGAACCCTAAGTACCCAAAGAAAAAGTTTTGAAAGGTAATGAATGTGTTTAGATTTCATGACAGATTCTTTTCAAGGGTCAGATGTTTACATAGAATGTAAAAGAGAGAGGGTCAGATGTTTACATAGAATGTAAAAGAGAGAGCCTGGTTTTTAATTTTTCAAGTTATTTCCTCCTGTATTTTAAATACTTTCATAGAGTGTGGACTTTTCAAATTCACATTAATTTTGAAAACCTTTAAAAATATTATTGAAAAGAAACAATAATTACCAGTTTTCTTAGAACCATAGTTTGCTCTTGGGAAGTGCTTTTGGTCCTTGAAAAGGAACCATTTGAAATAGCTAATAAATTTGAAGTCTCCCTCCTTCATTCATCAATTGATTAAAATGTTCAGAATGATTGAAATTGAGAGTTGCCAAGGTCTTGCCACAGTATCTTTAATATGCCAGACCTTCCAGTCTGAATGGACACTAATACATCTTGCAATCAAGAATATTTTTTGCTTTTGTTCTGTGCCATTTTTAGGTCACTGTTTTTCTTACTTTCTGCTGAACAAGGTGACGGCAACACAGACAAACAAATTTGTACTGTCAGAGATTGAAACAAGCACTGACAAACCTCAGTCATAAAGCAGTTTGTATTCTGAAGTGAGAAGTTGTTTCCTTGCAACTGTTTATGTAGCATATTCTTACTTATGAATCTAGTGTCTTCAGCTTTGGGAGCTTGTAGAGGATTTGAAGCACAATGTTAGTATCTGTGGTGGACATGCTTGTATTTCAAGTTTGTTGGAACACATAAAAGTCATTAAAACTTGACAGTATTTTCCATCATTTGATTGCTAGTTACTGTTTTTCTAATATCTGGATATTTATTCTTTCCATTTGTTTTCTTCTCTAACTGTGTACTTTAGAAAATAGCGAGAATCCTGATTGCCAGCATAATTGAAGGCTGTTTGTCATTTGCCATAAATCTATATTCTGTTACCGGTGTTGACTTTACTCAGAGCAATAAATTCTGATTCAGAGTCAAGGCTTTTATGAGGCTATTATGTAAAATCTATGGGTACTCTTTCTTAAAACTTGTTTGTAAACAAGTTGTATGAAGTGCTGTGGTTACAATGATCTTGCTAAGCTTAACAGGCTTAACTGCACATATAATGTATGATTTGCAAATACTAACATTTAACTCTTCATTCTTTTTATCCTGCACCATCTTTCATTCTTTTCTCAAAATTTATGCATTTTGTATTAATCACCTTTGAATTACATCTTTGTCATTACCATACAATCCTAATGCCATATATGAAATGCTGCTGCCCACTTTTATCCCACCTCCGGTCCTTATACCCCCCATGGCTGGACTGGTTATCACTCCCCTCCAACAGACCCATCCCTCAGTTTTCCTCCTATCTCCTTCAACACACTTACACAGGCACAAACATGGGACAACTTTAGCTACAGTATCCCATCTGAAGGAGACAGTGACAATGGTAGGTGTTCCATATATAATTTACTTAATTTTGTGTTTTCAGAAACATGAATATATGACAAATGCCCCGTGTGGCTAAGGATGAAAGACACTACTCTTCAGGGAATGTCTATAAGACTAAATACCTCAGAGGATGCATGTTAATTTACTGTAGAATATGTAGTGTTGAAAGTAAATGAGTGAAGAGTGTCACTGTTTTCAAGTCTGGCAAAACAACTTTTCACATACACTCCAAGAACTATTTTTAGTGTAGGTTTATTTGCTTGCATTACTTTCAAGAGTTTATAAAAGTTGTACTCAAACAGCAGTTAATTTTGCTACCCTTCTTTTACATTTTTTTGTAGATACTGACTATTAAAATATCCTACTCCCATCTGCATTTATTGATGCAGGTGCATAACTAACTTAACTAGAAGAAAAATATCTAAAGAAACAAAGCTGAAAAAATCAGCTAAGCAAAAACAGTGATTTCTGTCCAAAAGAAACTGTTAATACACTGTCAAACTTCTGTTCATAGTGAAAATCAGGTACATTAGAGGACTTTTGTTGCTGCTGCTTTTGTTTTCTTTTTCTCCAGGGTCTTATTGCCATGGTATGTAAAGTCATGGCACTAATTTGCAAGTGGGCCATGTTTGGGCTATCAGGATCTTATACTGCATCAGTAGTCAAATGTCAGATGAAAGAAATAGAACCTAGACAATTAAACCCATTGTAAATATTCGATAGGCAGATGTTTTGGGTTTGGTTTGTTTTGTTTGGTTTGGTTTTTTTGGTTTTTTTAAAGTATGACTGTTTTTTCCAGGTGCCCTAAATTAGAAGAGTGTTTAGAAGGTAGTGAAACTGTCGAAAGTTTCAGATTGAAATCAAGACCACAAATACTGAATGATAAATGCCAACATTTAGTTTACTGTTAAGGAAACTTTCCTGTCTGACCATTCAGATGCCACTCTGGAAGTCACACTTGTACCACCCCAGACTTAAAGTGCTTTAAGGACTGAAGCCCCTTCACAGCAGGCGTTTCGTTCTTAGTTCAGTTCATTAGTTGACAGTATTTGCTATTTGCCACAGCGTTCTTGATTATAAAACCATAAAAGACAGCCTGTGTAAGGAATCAGCTCCATAAAGGAAATAAGTGTGGAATATAAGAATTGATACTGGGAAGTTGAAAAACTTAAATTAGTATGATGATACGACACTAACTTGAGATTTTGCTGATGAATATTGTAACAGTGAAACCTTGAGGTGGTTCTATTAGTGCAGCACTTGATCTCTGTTAATCTACATTTGTTACTGGTTTACTCTTCTAAATGAAAGGAGTAACACAGACTAGCTTGTGCATTTGGAATGGATAGATACCTCCTGTCGTTCACATCTTAAGCCAAATGCAAATATTAGTGTTTATTACCTTGGGAAGTTACAACAGAAAATGGCTTTTACAACTACATGTTTTTTTAATTGGGGTTATTGCCTTTCTGTTATTTAAATTTAGAGTGAATGAATCAATCGAAGAGAAATATAGCTATAAACTTTTGACCCGACTTCATCTCTGCAGGTCATTAGTCCAACCTTCTTTTTGTCACTTAGTTTTAGAGTCAGGTTAAATCATTTTGTGGTTTACCTGAAGGATAATGTTGTCAGACTAAGTACTCAGGACACTAAATTCCTTTATGTGCAATTAATAGCGCACCTTTGTGCATTGGAACTCAGTACAGAAATGAAAATTTTCACAAGAAAGCTTGTCCTTGCCTGTGGTATGTTGAATATGTATTGCGTTATTAACTATTACACATCTAACTTGTTAAAACTTGTACAAAATACTTCTTAAAAAAATTATTGGAACAAGCACTACAGAATAATATGGGTTGGCCATGGGTTCAAAAAGCAAAAACTCACTCTTCAAAAGAGTAAAAAGTAGACATTCAGGTGTGTGTGTGAGGTATGGGCTCCCCTTGCTGGAAAATACGTGTAATGCTGAGAAGCAAGCAACATTCAGGACTGCCAAAACTTCCTGTATTAGAACATTTTTCTTTAAATTCAGTGTATAATGGAAACCTTTACAGCTAATGCTTTCGAGTGTGGTTTTTTTTAAGTTTTGGATTTTAATTAATTAAGCTTTTTTTATTGAGAAACTTCTAATTGTAGCTTCTCACTGCCTGGGATTAACCTGCTTTTTTCCTTGTGGATGAATGTATGTCTCCTTCAAGAATGGGAATGACAAAGTAATGCTGATAGTTTTTGGTAACAGACAGTTGTAGTCTGAAATTGGAAGGAAGTGGGTCTTGGAACATTCATACTGACTTTGCAAATGCTTAAGCAAGGACAGCTGTGGCCAAACTGAATGAAGACCGTAATAATATTCTGATTCTGTGAAAATAGAACATAATTCTGAACTAATGCTTTTGTAGAGAATCATTTGAAATGTTGCTACTGATGATAAAGCTACAGTGGCTTTTGAATACCATTTAAACATGTTATTACTCTGCAAGCATTTTATCTAGATGTATTTCATCCATCAGAGCCAGCAAAGCTCAAATTATTACAGTTGTACAGTGAACTAGAAAATCTTAGAAATTGCAACTACAGTTTTTAATAAATGTGATAGGAGATTTTTATTTCACCCCTTAAAAATTTAGGAGCAGTCTCCAATAAATTATTACAGAGTTGCTTATACGGAAACTTTAACACAGTACAATCCTGGAGTTTAATAGAAGGCTGCACTTGGAATAGTTTCTGCACTTTGAAAACTTGGGATTTGATTTTTTTTTGTTGTTATTGTGGCCGTACTAAACTGTATACTTTAGTAAATAACATTTTATATATTTTTCACCATATGTAAGTCTTTTAACAGCCTTTGTATGTTTGGGTATGTGCAGTCACAGTTATATGTAGCCTCTCTACAAAATGTTAGGAAACACAGGTCTGTTGATACACTGTACTTTGGATGTAGAATTCAATTCCAAGCGTGCAGTTTGCCGTCTACACGGGCAAAGATTAAACATCAGTACAAGTGTGGACCTCTTGCATCTGAAGGCATGGCTCTGCTAGTCTTATGCTAAGTGTGGGAGATCAGCACAATGGAAGTGTTTATTTATGATGTGTGCACCTGCGTGTAGATCCTTCTGAATGGTGACACTGATGAAAACGTGTAGTCCACTTGGAGAAGGGAACTGAGCTGCAGTCACTATCTATAGTTCTCAGTCCAGCACATTTTCTACAGGACACACTCCCACTCTGCCAGTGGGATTTCTGGTGACATCAAAAAGGATAGTTTACTGAGATAAAACTGTAATATTTAGGTGTTTATTTAAAAGGAGCTTGGTTTAACAAATAGCCTTTAACATGGCATTCCAGAAATTACTGATTTAACAGATGTAGCAATTTTCAGTTGCCTGAGAAAAGTTTAAACTATGATTGTGATTGCACCCATGTGTACCTTTCCTACAGTTAAGAGTAATTAATCTTTTTTCACTCCTCTAGTAGGTGCTATTAGCAGTTCTTACACTTCCAATTGATGTGCCTTTTAGGAAACAAAAGGCTCCTCTCTTCTGTCCCATTACTTATGGACCTAGAAATTCAATAATGGCATTAAATTAACAAAATTGAGACTGTGCAGTAGCTGTATATAAAACCAGAGGTTTCTAGGCTTTGTGCTTTCCACACCTTTAATTGGTACTCAGGGTTTCATGTTACATTCAGGAGAGAGGTGTGAAAATAGTGATACAAAACACTTCTTTCTTTCGAGCAGTATAATTTTCCATAATAATCTAGTTGGCCTATAATTTGAATGACAAACATGGGACAGTTGCATTTTCTGAAACAAAATGGCAAAGTGGCAAACAGATGACGGTTGCATTTTGACCGTACATCTTGTTCTTCCAAACCGCTCAAAACAGTCATTGACCACAAAAATGGAAGTGTAGAGTTGCATATGTGCGGAAATGTCATGTAATTATTTCAAGGAACTATATGTGGGCAAAGTGATAAAGTTGACAGAATTGGTGGGAAGCAGTACTGCAAAGACTTTGTGCACTGTAACATTTGCTATACAGTGTTTTAATGTAGGCAGAGTTACTGAATGGCTAAGTCTGCCTACATTAATCTTTGTTTGCTGAGTGGTGGGGTTTTTTATTGGTTTGTTGTTTTTTTTTTGGATAACCTTATCTAGTAAGCATTTTGTTCTGTGTAGGAAGCTTGTCACAGCTTGTTACACAATTCAGCGTCTTGTAGGAGAGAGTTCTACTTAAAAGAACAGGAGGTGTTTCCTGCCATGTTAATATAGAGAGTTTTGTACAGATCAGACTCTGTACAGGGACAGTGCTGATGCTTAATCTTATGATAAAACTTGCCCATTGAGATTAAGATTTGGTTCAGAAATTATCCACTCCATTGATGGCGCAGGAAGCTGTCCAGAGCAATATCCAAAAAATACCATTCATGATTGTAATCCGAGATCAGATTTTACTGTCCTCCTGAGGAGAAACAAATTTTCTAACAGTTTTTGCTGGAGGTAGTGCCTAAGGATTTTGCTTCATTTAGAAATAAATAAATCAAAGTATTCGTTCTTAAACTAAAATCTCTCTTTCTAAAAATTGTAGTGTTCTTAAGACCACAAAGAAATTTGGAATCGATAGACCCACAATTTACAATTCGAAGGAAAATGGAGCAGATGAGAGAAGAGAGAGAGCTTGTGGAACAGCTACGTGAGGTATGTGGGTATTGGTAGAATTAATTTATGCTGATGGAATGTCTTTTTTAAGGTTTCTTTTTGGAAAGTTGCCTAAGTAGGAGAATGTAAGAAAGGTTAAATGAGGCAATATTGCTTCTGCAAATTACACTGGTGAGACTGTTCCTGAAGTGCTTTATCACAATCAGATGTCTGTACTTCAGGAAAGGTTTTGTAAAAATGACATACAGTTAAACAGCGTGCCTTGCACTGGTGGAATTAACCATTTATTTAATCAGAAAGGATGAAGTGATCACTTAAGAGAGAGGTCTAGAAACTATTTCCAAACAGCTGGAGAAATCTTCAGTTTTACAAGTAAGAGACATGAAATCTGTTAGTTAAAGCTGAAAGCAGATAACTAATGCTTGCAACAGCTTTCTTAAAAATTAAATGAATATTCCATCAATTGAAGATTTGAATACAGAAGGTGGTTTCCTGATACATTGTTTTGAATATAGAAGCTAGAACCTGATGCAAAAATGGCTGCATGTGGTTGCACAGAGTCTCTTACACACCTGATACCTTGGTAGCAGTTGTTTGTGTGACACCTATTTATGCATAAAAAAAAAAAATGACAGCCTTTGCCACAAGGAATGTCATGACCCTGAACCTGTCAAGGTTTCCAGTTATGTTGCATCAGCAACAGAATAGATGGTATAATTGCACTCCTAAATGCAGTGCAAATCCTGAAACTGTAGGTGATTTTGACATCACAGCTGGATTACAAGATTATTTGTTCTTATCTCATTAGCTTCATGGAATGGCTAATTGCAAAATTATGAACTTATTTTAAATAATATGTCTTCTATTATTTAATTTTAAAGCAGGAGGGTTCATTTTTTTGTCTTTACAAAATACTGTTTAAAAGGCAGGATTTTAATGTAGAACTATGCAGACTTTTATATTTTCATTGTCTTACCTCAGGCCCTCACCTGCTTTAAGTATGAATTATTCTTACTTTGTCTTGCTCATTTTTTCTAACAGAAAAGATCTTGTTGAAGACTTAATGTAGTTGATGCAATGTAGTATATTATGAATTCTAAACTTGAATGATGCCAGAAGGACAAAATGCAGGAATTAGATGAGACAGACTTACTGGCAATGGAGAAGAAAGTGGAAGTAGCAGTAATAAACTGCAGTAGGATGTAGTTATTCTGAGCCTAGTCTATTCAGCAGCATCAGTGCAGCTTTTTACATTTATTTTAAACGTTACCACAAATATGTAGCAAGTCTCCAAGTAATTGTTCCTAAAAATAATCATAAATAATGTCCTCAGTGTTCCTGCCTTGTGTATTAGTTCAGTTAATCCTCACAGTGAAAAGTAGAACAAGGTTATTCACCATATCAGGCATGATTATGGACATGTAATAAGGACCTCTCTACACAGTATTCATAATAGATATTACCAGTAGTATTGGTTTAATGTATTATTGACCTTCAGCTCCATGCACTATCCTTCTTTGACCTTACCCTGAAACGTTGTGTATGGAATAGAAGTTATTTTGTTTCTTGTTAGATGTTTGATTACAAGTCAAGGAGAACATATAAGTCGGTAAGTTTATACTTTATTCAATAGATATAACCATTAGTACATTTTACTTTTTAATTGTTTCATGGTAAGTTAGCACTTAGAGAGATTACACAGAACTTGTAGCCTTAACCAAGTTGTGTGCTAAACAAGAAGGAACAACTAGTAAATTACTCAGGCTCCTTATTTAGAAATCTAAATGCACATTTACCTTTAGCTCAACCACTTCACCCGAGACACATATTGTGAGAACATTGGTGTTCCTTTCATACATTCCTTTCATTTCTGTAGAATGAGTGTGTTTTTGCAAAAATTGTTCCATCTCATAAAATATTTTACTTCAGAGACATACTTAGTTTTCTTCCATATGATTTTGTCCATTTGATCCATGGTCACTTCAGACAGTTGTCATCTCAAGAGTGATTTACAATTGAGCAGTACAGTCTAGCAAGAAATACTGGTTGATTTTTGTCACTCAAAAGGTAAACATACAGTACTTTTGATATGCTAAATGGAACAAATTGTCTGATGTTGTAGTGTGGATGATTTTTGAAAAAGAGAGCAGTTCTTCAGTGGTGACAAAATTGAAAGAAACTGTTTTTAGTCTTCAATTTTATTTAAATCTAGTCTTAAATCCTGAACTCCAGCACAAAATGGCATTGAAATGGAATTGTAGGTGCTCATAAAAAAGTGGAGCCTGATCTGTGCTGAATAGTCTCACAACAGACAAATCAGTGTTTTAAGGAAGTTTCTAGTTCATCGATTTATATAAATCTGTTTGTAACAGTTTTGAAAAAGTCTCAAAGTGTATTCTTTTATCAATTTATATGTTTTCTAATTTAAGCGAAAATGTTTTCTAATTTATGAATTAAACCAAGGTGGAAACAAACATTACATTAGTGAACATGATGCACTCTTCCTTTTGGCACTTGAAACCTACATGTGAGTACTTGGATAATGTGGTTAGAAAAACTGGGAAAATATAGTGAAACCCCAGAGTGCATTCAGGGGAGGCTATTTCTTGGTGAGGCCACCCAAACAAAGGATGTGTAAGGGAAAACCAAAGAGCTGAATTTCTTGAACTTGGATTTCTTGCTTAAAGTGCTGAGAAGATCATATGACTGTCCCCAGCTGCCTGAAGGGTAGTAAAAGAGAAAATAAAGCCCGGCTTTTCAAAGATGAACAGTGAAACAATGAGAGACAGTTGTACAAATTGCAGAAAAAGAAATTTCAAGTAGCTATAAGGAGATATCCAAAACTTAGCTAGCCGAGGGTCCGGTGTTGCTACAAATTTGTTAAACCAGGGAACCTTCAGAAATCCCTTCCAACCTACTTTCTCCTTTGATTCTGAAAAGAATTATCTATTCATAGATATTCATATTCAACCAGTATAGGTTGAGGTAATGTGTTAATAGAGAGTAATGATATTAAAGAGGTTCAACTAGGAATAAGAAATAGCTATTTAAAGATAATGGAAGTAATTATCTCTAAGTATAGAGTTAGAATGTTTTCAAGATTGGAACACAATTCAGGAAACTCATCATAATCTTATTGTGGACTGTTGGGCTTTTTTTTTTTTTAATTCTCAAATATTTTCAGAAATACTTTATTTTCCAATATCAAATTCTTTTCATTGAGTCTTCCATTTTACTTAACAGATATCCAAAAATTCTCTTTTGCCTCTGAATGTTTTGCCTTGCCTTACCTGTTCTTCTCATCACTCTTATGCTTCCTAAGTAATTTTTAGGCTACTAGAGAAAGATCACTTTTTACTCTCTGCTTGTACAGTCCTTAGCACAAGGTTCTGGTTCAATGTGCTGGTGAAAAAGAAATTCAAGATTGATAAATAGAATGGTAATGGGGGAATGGTTAAAGAAAGGAGCCACATGTAGTGCAGTCACATATCTAATTGCATGCAAATGTGTTTTTATACATTTTCTATACAGGAATTGTGTTTCTTGGTAAATCAAAACTCCAGAAGTGGCTATGTGTCTACAGCACAGGAGATGAACATATATATTCCCTTTTTTCCCCCTTGATCCATTTCTATATCAAAGTGTACATACCTTCTTCTTTTGCAGAACATAGAAACAAGACTAAAGATTTGTTTGCCTGAAGACCTGGGGTCAGCTCTGATGGATGGTGTCGTTCTCTGCCATTTAGTAAATCACGTTCGCCCTCGGTCTGTAGGAAGTATTCACGTACCTTCACCAGCAGTAGTAAGTTGCATGTTTCTTGCTGCATTGAAATGTTTTATCAATTAATGTTTTATTGCTAAATGATATTTGGTTACATGAACCACGTTGCTGTTCAGTGAATATTCTTTGCTGTTAGGGGCAACATTTACATTATTGCAAATTCAAATGTTCGTTAATTTTTGTGTATTATATATACATATATAAAAGGTGTGTGTATGTGCGTGTGAATAAAATTATCCTGCCTTTCTCTGATCTAGAAACAAGGTCAGATATTTTCATAATAGCCTTTTTGTTCAGAACAGTATGAAAATCTGTGATTATAAGTTTTTATTCTAAAAAAACCCAAATTTTAAAAAGAAAATTAGCCCCTTGTTTGTTGATTGAAAAAATATGAGGTTAACTTTAGCAGTGTCTGGCTTAGCAGATGCCATGCTACTAAAACACTTAAAGCACATATTAGCATATTCTTCCTGTTGAGTTAAATGTACAGATGATTCTTTTTACCTGGAGACAGAATTGAATAAAAACTTGCATTGTAGTGATTTAATATTGGCTTGCCCAAATCTAAGGACCTGAGTATTTCAGGATATAAAATCAATGTAATCTCTGTGTGCACTTCTTGAAACTTAGTTTCCGTAGTGCTTTCTCTGTTTATGTCTTTTTCTTGGACAGATCATTGTTCCAGATTTCTGATAACAGTCTGGTTCTTTTTTCTTTTTAATGTTCACATTAGTAAAAATTTGCCAGATACTCGATTCTGAGAATACCATGTGGATTTGAGGCAATCTGTAAGAACTTCCAAGAAGACAGATTTAAGGAAAAGATATTTTCTCAGGTGGTCTAGTGGAGTTTCGTTTGCTGTTACTTGATTTAAAATAATTTCTATCTTTGATAAAAATATGACATTGCCAAAATATGCAAACTTTAATTTCTGGGGCAAAAACTTAAGTTGTCTTGCCGCTTTTTTAGAACAAATATCTTGTGCTGTTTTCTGTAACAAAAAACGCATCTTTTAAATTTGTTTTCATTTTGTTTCAAGTTCATATTGATTATGTTCTTTTGCTTGAAATAGCCTTCAAATTACTTTAGCCTAGAAAATTAGTTCTTTAAAGTCCTTGCCACTAGTAGGATATTCAGGAACTACCAGTGTTTCGCATCTTGCATTGAAGAAGTAAAATAGCAAGGAGTTTGCATTTGGTTTTTCTTTAGTCACATGATATTTCTGTAAGTATTTGGTGAATAGTCCTGAGTAAGAGAAATTATGGAAATATTCGAGATTCTACCGTAATAGGAAATTTATTTTTCAGAGACACTAAAATTGTGTATAGTTACTATAAATTTGTGAGTACACAAAAAATTCAAAAGGAGTGAGCCTGATAATTAGTTAAATCTGTTCTCCATGATGGACATTAAAATCCTTCATCACTTTATTTGCTGTCCAGAAAATAAATGTTGTCTGTTACAAATCTTTATAATAGGCATGTTTTAGAACCTCACAAGCTGGATGTGAACAATTGGAGATCTAAATGTGCTGATGACTTTAAGAGCTAAGTAAAAGCACATGGCATCCACAATTTACGTGCTCTCTATTTGTAGGCATGATGCTTTTAGAGTTGATGCTGAGCAGAAATTGCTCAATTTGCAGAAGTGTTGAGCAGAATTTTATGCATTGTTATCAGGAGAAATTTGGAAATGGAGCATCAGTACAAGAATAATGCAATAGGTAAATTGACCAAATGAATGTTTTTGACTTCTTTTGCCATAGACTATTTTTTTTGTTTTACAGCCTAAACTTAGCATGGCCAAATGCAGGAGAAATGTGGAAAACTTTTTGGATGCATGTAGAAAACTGGGGATACCAGAGGTAATTTAATTAAGTCTGTCATTTCTAGATGTTAAAAAATCCAAACACTAATTACTTTAAAGCTGAAGGATAACTTTATGAACCACAGGTTTTCATCAGTAAAGATGCTTTTTTTTAAAAAATTGGTCTAAATGTGATTTAATACTACTTTAGTGCATTTAAGTTGCTCATGTCATAGCACTTAAAAATTGCAAATTTTGTCTTAAATTAGTAATTCAGTATTGTCTCTAATACCTCCTTGTCTTTGCCCTGGAAAGTAAGTAAGGCATTGTGATAATTAGATAACATGTAATTAGCCAAAAGCTTGCTAATTATTTTCATTGCACAACATTACTGCATTTTTCCTCATGCTTTTAGAATATGAACTTCATTAATTTTTTTTATTTTCCTTTTTTTACAATATTTCCTTTTTTTACAGTATTGGGTAGTCTACGCATTGTAAAAGTGACTAATAACACTCATCTCTTGTACTGAAACATTTCTACAGTGATTTGAAGAAAAGCACTGTGTGTTAGATATGGAAAGTACATATGTATAAGGTTCTATGATACAGGTATAAATGTTTCAGGAGTTGGAAATAGGGAAATTGCAGTGTTTGATATTTTCTGCTTTTCATTTAAGAATGGCAGCATTCATCATGTAATTTATAACTAAAAAATGCTGGAGTTCCGTTGGGAACATTTCAAAGACTCCCTTATGGTCTAGAAGAACCTATTAAGTAAAAGTTAATTTCAAAAATGTGACCTCAAAAGAAGGTAAAAGTATTATACAAGGTCTTTTTAATTTGAACACAGAAAAATTGCATTATGTATTTTCACTGTTGCCTACATATGACAGTATAATGAAGTCAGCTCTTTTTAGTCTGTTTCAAGAATACTGAAATGAAAGAATATTTTGTGTGATCTCCCCCACCATCCCCTTGGGGAGCAGATGGTAATGAAAAGATTTCACATTAGGAAAGAATTCCAATTTGAATTTTTTATGTTTTTTCTGTATTTTAGAACTTGATTTGGAGGACAGCAAAAGTAACAGATAATTTTTGCTATTTGTAGGAATTTTGAGGGGGAGACTTTATCTTACAGTTCCAATGAATAGTTCATCATAAATTTAATTTGTCAATTCAGTGTAATGGCTGGGTCTCTTAAGCTGTAATAGTTCATTTAGTTCCTGTAATTATGTAATTTATTATGTTAGAATGATTTCATGTTAAAGATAAAATTTCACTTCAAAGAAGATCCAGATCTTCCAAGTTGTGGACTTGTAGACATGGAGTGTTTGTTAAGCTGCCCCAAAGCTCAGTGTCTTCTGATGCATCATAAGTCATCAGTGAATTAGAATCAGATATTTCTGTTGATAGCCTGTTGGGAAAGAAAAGGCCAAGAGCTGTTTTCATTGCCATCATGAGATCTTTCAGAAATGGAAATAGAACAGAAATATTTACAAAGTTCCTTGCAGAGCAATATTACAGATGGGTAAGCTAAGCCTTTACGAGTTTTTTTAATTTTGAATTTCTGTAAGTAAGCTTTCTGGAGAAACACCTTTTTGATTTTTTTTGAATAGATATTTTCATATATATATTTATTATCCCTCCTTTTTTTTGCTTCCATTGAAATTAGTGTTGAATGTTTTAGGATTTTCAAAAAATTTTATTAAAATGTATTTGTTCAAGAGTTGCACAGAAGCTTAAGCACAAGGCCACATCTCACCAGTCTGATTTATGAACTAACCGTCCTTATGAATCTAAATAAGCATTAAGTTCTCTTGAAGGGAAAAACTCATTCACTTAAACACTAAATGAATGGCTTGCAATTGTAAATTTAAAAGAGGTTTTAAGTACTCTAAGGATGTTCTTTTTTGTTAGCTATTGGTAATTTGCAAATGTATATATTTGCTGTAGATTTTGAAAATACATTATGGTTTGGAACTAGCTGGTAGATGCTAAAACTTTACTGTGTGTTGGAGGGACATGTATTAGAAATGCAAAGTTGTGTAATAGTGAGTATGACAGCTGTCAAAGTTTTTAAAGAACTACAGATGGCGTTCTTAATGCTGCTTTTGATTGATGAGTTGTATGTTGCCTCACTCTCTCTGGAGAAACAAGTAAAAGGAGTTCAGTGAATTACTACTTTTTTTTGAAAACAAGCATCTTATATGGAAAAGTGATAAGTTCCACTTTTGGGTCCTAATACCGATAGATATTGGGCTTTTTGGTGATACTTGTGTCCACGTTTAGTTCCTGAGAATTAACTTGAAATTTGGTTGCACAGGTTTTTAAAGGATTTAGAATTGTCATGATTCATGTTGGTTTCTTTTCAGTTATTTAAAGAATAGACTACATACCTGAACTCCACAGGTTTGGAATAATACCCTTTAGTCTTGTAAAATGAAAACAAGAAAATAGCTAAGTAATTACTATGCTGTACTGATGTGCATGGTCTCTTACTTCTGTGGTTTTCAGCATTCGGTTCTTGGATTAAAATTGCTTTGCCCAGAATAATCGTGGGAAACTTCATAAAAGTTTCGAAAAATGCAGTTGGTGTCTAAATATGTCCCACTGAGTATCAGACATTGTCATCTTGACCAAAGAACCACAAATACAAAATTCAGGAACGTGAGTGTCTCTTTATAATGATGTGGTATGTAGATGATTCTGAAAGCCATTACCTGTCAGATGAGAATTTCAGTACAATGAGGGACATGTTGAAATTGCTTTCTGTTAATGACCATATGATGCTCCTGATTGCATGCAGAAAGGATGTGCTGGATGATATGCAAAAGGAATATTTTCAGTGTATGGTTCTGACCCATAATAAACTAAATAGCAAGGCCCTGGCTGCACTGGCAGCCTACCAAAAGTGTGAGAATTGAAAGGCAATCAAGTTGTGTCCAGTTTTGCCACTAACCTTTACTGTAGCACCTTATCAGAGATCCTTGTAGATAATTTTTTGAGACAAGACAAACATTTTCGTTTGATGAGAAAGGAATGGTGTCAGTTAAGTATCTGAAAGCCTGAAGATTGAGAAAATATCTGCTATGTCCCTCAGGAGATATATGACAAAAAGGTACAATCTTTGTCTCTTGGAAAATTACAAAGGAATACTTTATTTTGTTTTGTTAACTAAACCCCACCCAATTACCTAATCTCCTCTGTAAGAGTGATGGGGTGACAAACACACTGACTTTTTGGCTGGTATTGATTGAATAAGCAAGTGGCAGTAGATGTGTGATAAATAGGGTTGCCGGTCCTACTGCATTTCTCAGTGACATGCAGTACTTGGATGGTGCCATTTACTGGACTACATTGTTAATGTCACATGGACCCACAAATGACACCACTCATATTACTTACCCAAAAGTGTTCACCTATATTGCACACACTCTCTCATGCTTTATGGGTTTAAAAAATAAAGCTATTTTTTTATTTACTTCTCTTGCCTGTGTCAAATATACCACTTCCAATGCAGTTTTAATCTTCCTGGTAGCATCTCATCCCAGAGGTTTTAAAAATTATAAGAAGAACGAATCATTATCGCATGAGTATGTATGTGAAGTTATGGAAGTATTTTGATTTCAACTGCTCTTTCATAGAACCAGTAACAATAAATGTAAACAATTGCAAAAACGTTCATACACATTTCTTCAACTTGTCATTGCCACATCAGTATTTATACTAGTAGCAAAGACGTAAACTTTTCCATTTTAACCTGCAAATTAATAATTTAATTAAATTTGAGCTGTTATTATTGGTAACTATATTACAGAGTATTTTTTCATATAGACTTTCAGTAGTGTTAACAAATATTTGGTTTTTGGTGGGCTGAATGATACTTTTATTGGACTCAAGATTTAGACCAAAACAAAGCTGTAAATGCAATATGTTATTTGAAAGGCAAAAGTTACAAGTTTTGGGTTGCATTTCTTCTAGTTCTCAGTTATGAACAAATAAGGCATATCAGAAGTAGGATCTTCTAAGCATTTTTTCAAAAAAAGAAAATGAACGAAGTATTTTCAATGTCTGTGAAGTTAGCTTTTTACAAAGACACAAATTTTTATGATATGCATATTACACTAATGTAGTATCTTAGGCCTTTTGGCCCTTTTTGGGGCCTCTTTAGGTCAGAGAAATTACATTAATTTTTTTTAAAAGGAAAGAAGGACTTTCCCCACATACACACCTTGTTATTCTTCATATAGCTTGAAAAAAGATAGACTTAAGTTATCGTGATTAGTACTAGAACAGTAATTTTTGTTGATAAAAGGTAGTGATAAAATGAAACTTTTCACAGTCAAATGTTCCAACAAGAGTTTATCCAAGATTGTGTATTCCAGCGCATCAGTAGGGATGCAAAATGGTTTAGTGGGACAAATTCCCACCCATCTTGGGTGGGAATGAGGGACTTCTGCCATGTCTCTCAGATTTTCAGTCAGTTACATGGTGTAAACATACTGAACAGAAAAGAGTGTGATGGTAAGAAATGGCTTTTTGGATCTCAAGTCATCATATGAAGATGCAGATTACAAAAGTTTTAGCTGTGCCCCTTCCTGTGACTTTCAAGTCCTGCAAATGGACCTATTACAGCGTTTCAACCTCCTCCTCTGAAAACCAGGTCTACTATGTTGCAATGTCTGGCAGAATTATTCTAAAAATCCATATGATTTGTGTTAGTGTAAGAATTGAAAATTAAGTAAAACAATAAAATAAAAAAAACAGGAGGCTTTTGTATTCTAAAAGTAGCAGAACAAAGTAAAGAAAGCAACCAAGCAGTTGAGTGTAAAGTGTTTTATCTTCTGTCTACCTGTTAGTTGATCAATTGGTAATCGTGTTTCTCAGTTTAATGAAAGGTATATTATCATTGCCACTTATGCTTGTTTTCTGATCACGTAATCAGTTACTTCTTCATTGTTTCATCATGAGACATCCATGAAGTTGCAGTAAGTTTTATGAGGTATGACTCCTTTTTCCACTCTTTCCTTCTGGACTCGGTAATGTACATTGTTTG